GATCAAGTTCAAATTTTGTTCCGGTCTGATGATTTTGTGCAGAGTTATGGTCCTTGGACTTAGAAAATTCACTCAAATAATCAGTTTTCCACACTTTTTTTTGTCATTCTTGAAGATATTGATATATAATTTTATCATGACAAGTTACAGTTCAAGTTTGAATTTTGTACCGGTCTGATGATTTTGTGCAGAGTTATGGTCCTTGGACTTAGAAATTCACTTAAATAATCAGTTTTTAACACTTTTTTTCGTCATGCTTGAATATATTGACTTGATATTTGTAATATAGTTTACACCATGGCAAGTTAAAGATCAAGTTAGAATTTTGTTCCAATACAATGAATTTTTAGTAGGGGACTATGTATTGCCATGCAATATTCACAGAATGCTTGTTAATTTTTCACCTCTTGGAGTTAAATCATGTGTTGTTGTTCATCAGCAACAGAAATTTATGTCCATGATGTTGGAATCTCTGTCTTGATGTTCAAAAAAAAAAAGCCCTTCATTTGAATGTACCTTATATTATATTTTTTTTTCGGCTTCTGACTTGTACACTACTTTAAGAGAAATACTGATACTTTGTGTGATTTTTTTCCTTCCACCTGACAATGTATGTGGAACAATTTTAACACTTCACAACAATGATCCATATGCTTAATTCATTTCAGGTAATAGTTTTTCAACTACCTGAAGTGTTAATTTGATCCAAGGTTATGTGGGGTATACATCAATGAGACAGCAACCCAGTAACAAAAAAGACAACAACAAAATTATGGGTCACACCATACATTCTTCAGTCAACTGTAGGCAGATGTAAGCTAAACATAAACTATTTCTTAAAAAGAAACTTTAACTGGGTGATTACATTAATTATTGTCCTTCCCTTTGCCTATATCACACCACCTCTGCTCTGTAATGATAGTATTACAGCTTTGAGGCCTGAGTAGGCATTATCAGCAACGTCACAATGTGTGAGGAGAAGTTATTAGCGTCATCACATTGTATATTGAGACGTTTTCAAGCTTGACAAATATAAATCTGTCTTATGTCTTTTTGATCGAGTTAAGCCATTTCAATTGGTATTTTATAGTGTGTCTTTTTATGTTGTAATGTTACACTACTGTTTCAGGTTAGTGTGAAGGTTGGCGCCTGTTAAAACGTTTAAACCCACTGCATTTGTATGCGCCTGAAGTCAGGAGCCTGTAGTTCAGTGGTTATCGTTTGTTGGTGTGGTTCATAAGTGTTTCTCGTTTCTTGTTTTTTATATATATTAGACCATTGGTTTTCCTGTTTGAATTGTTTTACACATTTTGGGGCCCTTTATAGCTTGCTGTTCAGTGTGAGCCAAGGCTCTGTGTTGAAGGCCTTACTTTGACCTATAATTGTTTACTTTTTACACATTGTGACTTGGATGGAGAGTTGTCTCATTGGCACTCATACCACATCTTCTTATTTATATTAGGGAGGGGAAAAAGACCAGTAATAGAACAAGAAACAGATTATTTGGTTTTCTACATATAGATATTGAAAAATATCAGCCAGTTGACACAAGTTGAAGCTTTTTGATTCGTTCGCTGCGCTCACTTGCCAAAAAGGTTGACATTGTGGCTCATGGCTGATATTTTACGATATCAGTGTCGAAAACCTGACAATCTATACATATTTTGGTCATATTAGCATTAAATCATGTCAGCACTCAGTCCTAATGAATTAAAAGCAGCTTTATTGACAAACTATATTAGTTAATTAGTTTGTAAAAATTTTTGATACAAGCTTTTTCTACTGTAAATTTTGTTTTTAGATGAACAATTCCATTTATTAGCATGTAGAATAGTTTTTAAACTACATTTCTTGCTTAGTTTGTATGTCGTTTTAAAAAGTTTGTAAATCTGATCTGACAGGCCATTCAACAGTTATTTACTCAATCAATCTTTAAATAGCATATCTAGACCTTGCAGCAATGTCAGGAATTATACCTACGTACCATTATTGTGATTACTACTAATTTAACAGGCCCTTTGAAAAGGGGGGCTAATTGCTGACCTAGAGTTTAGATAGTGCCTTGTAGGCTATGTCTATATTGATGTTTCAGTAACACAGCAACTCAGCAACCACATAAGGAAACCAGAAATCAAATCAGATTCTTATTCAAATTTTTATGAGAAGAGGCTTTGATTTTGGCATGATAAAAGCCACTTATTCTATTAATTCTGACCAAGAAAATGACAATATACTAAATGGTTTTATGGCTTACAATCAAATCTAGCTAATAATTCTTTTGGTCATGTAAATCTACATTAAAATCATTTTCCCCGCTGTTTGACAAAGCAGTGGACATTTATGGAAATAGGTATGAAAAATATAAAAACTTTAATGCGTGTTTTTTTTCCACTTCAATTGAGAAAAAAAAATCAGCTCAGTAGAGTTTATTTAGGAGTGAATGCCATTATAGTAAATTCCCATAAAAATCAGCCAGTCAATTTCATAGTATTGAAAAGGAGTTGATGAAGCTCACAAATCATAGTTTGAATAGAAATTGATTCCAAACCCCAATATTGGTATTAAGTCAACAGAGCCAACTTGTTATTTAATCACCTTTTATGCAAGGCGAAGTTAGCTCACCAGGCAAGACTGTTTGCACTTTGCATACACAACAATAGATATTCAATCAAAATTTTCTGCTTATTGAAAATTGTTTGATTGAAGATGATGGGTGATTAACTGTAATTTGGACTATATAGGTTTCATGATTTTTTCCTGTAAAATCAATGCATTTTATAAATTACAAAATTCTAGTGGTAAATGGAGAGAATTAGTAGTAAAATTTGACATTCAGGTTTAAATGTAATTGGGATAAGCTCTCACATGAATACATTTCGAATTAGAAGTGAAGAATTTTTTCTGCATTTATGCTATTCATCAACAGACTTCAACAAAAATTAGAAAAAAGAAAAAAAAACAATGTTAAAGGTTATGTATTGACTGAGTAACACTGAGAAAAAAGGGATGTACTTCTCACTTCTTACATAATTTCTATTGATTATAGCTTCTCAAAATTTGCAGTTATCATCACAAATCAGACAAAAGTGTTGTATTTCAAAGAAAGGTAAATTTAATAATTGAAAGAAAATACTTTCCTGAAAGCCACTGAAATTGGAACCTTGCATTTTATTGATTGCAATATTATTTACAATGATTTGATATGCAGAAATTTAACTTGCTATAATTTATTAAAAATTTGTATGAAAATTATATTGCAGATTAATATAGAAAAGCAACCAATTTAGGTTCTATTTCTGTAGGCATCTATAATTTTATGAAATCTATGTTTTTAGAACTAGTAGGGCAGCATCTGAATATCCAAATAGATACAAGCAGGGTTTAAACTTCCAGAGATAAAATCAATTATAATAAGAGTTTCTAAAAAAGTCTTTTACTGTTTAAGTGCTGTAAAAGAATTATTTCGATTTAGAAAATTCCTTCCTTGTAATTTTGTTTAGAAATGATATGTTATTGCTGTAAACATTTCTGTTTTAATGCTATTAGAGATCATCAGTTTCGTTGTGCTGTGGACATGAATTTCATTTGATGGTTTGAGTGAAGAATAACATGTAAATTACAATTTTGCAGTGTGACTCTGTCATGATATTCTGATTATTTTGTCCTATTTATGATTACTCTACAATGATCTAGACTAAATGAATGTACTGAAGTTATGAAGCTGGGGACACCATTTTAATTTCATATCATTTTTCAAGAAATCACCATTTAAACTGGAAAGATATACATTTTATGACACCTTTTATATGCATTTCTGTACATTTATAGATGTATTTCACAACTTTTGAACTGATTGCATCCCTAGAAGTAGAAATTATTTCTTACAATCATTTTATATGTATTTAAATGTAAATCATACAAAATTTTATAAAAATCTGAAAAAAAAACCAATTATATTTTGCTTTTAGTCACTTATTGGACACAGAAATAGACCTAGTCATTAAAATGTTCTAGAATGTAGACAGATTTTATAAGAAGATTGTAGCTTTGATATGTGATATATCAGTGTTATGATACTAAAGGTATCAGATGCTCCCCTAATTGAAAACATAACCAAATGTACTCAATTAGATATGAATATGTAGGTAATTGTGCAATAAAAGTTTTGTTTACTATATCAGAGTATGACATTTCAAATCACATTGTGGACCTAAATACAAATAATTAGACAAATCAATTGAAGCACAAAATGTAGGTCATTGTGACTCAAATATTCCAGGCTTATCTTTCACCTTACATTTTTACTGTAGTGGGAGAATTATCACAATATGTTGATTCTATGGAAGATTATATCCTACACATGAAATTTATCCAGAGTCACTCAAGTATACTTTATATTGGCAAAAGATTGATATGCATCATTGGGTTTCTCAGTATTAAACCTCAAAGAAAAATTAACTAAATCTAATAGATGGAGATTGGTTGCAAATTTTAGAATATGCCCCTTTGACTTTCATGACAGTTATAATAATGATTGGTGTTGAAGTGACACTTGCCTTGGGAACTCTCAGATAATGCTACCTGATTCGAGGAGTGTCACATGAACCATACAATCTAATTTCAACAGCTAACATATTTTTAAAAGCTCTAAAAATCAAGAATTAAATTGACCTTTGAAAGAAATTGATTGAACACATGTATGGTTTTTGCTGTTTATTAAAAATCCAGAACATGCATGTTTACATGTGTGAGGGGGGGTAGGAGGGGTCCTGATCCCAAAATCCCGGGCTTAAAAACATGGAATCCCGATGTCCCGAATTTAAAAAAATAAATCCGACATCCCGAAATTTCGAAAAAGAATTCCCGGATCCCGAAAGGATCAATCCCGAAATCCCGAGCTTAAAAACACCCGATCCCGGAGTCCCGATAAAGGTCCTACCCCCCTCATGTGTTTGATAGAAAAGTTCAATATCTGATAAATATTATGTTTTTCTTTTCAGAAAAAACTCCAACAGAAGTAACTTTGCTTGGAACACAGTACCTCATGTATAATTTTGTGAAAGATAACAACACTGATGATGGTCTACAGAGCAACGAAGATGAGATTGATCTTTATTTCCGTACTCAGCAACCTGATGGATTACTATTTTTTATAGGTAAGAAGCTTTATATGTGTGTAAGAATAGCTTATATTAATCAACAACAATACAGAGGATTTTCTCTGTTGTTGTAATCCCCTGTTTTCGTTTGATAAAAGTCTGATCAGGTTCGTTGCAGTACAAAGAGCCTACTTATGGTGAACAAAATAGATACAGCTCAAATTATAAAGCTAGTTCTATTTTATTGATTTTTAAGCAGGTTTCTATAAATTATTTGTCATGAATTATTTGGAAACAATTTTCAATGTACATAAATCTTCCTCAAAGCATTAATGTCAATAAAAAGATACAGTATTTTATATTGTTTTATAATTTGCATGTTGATTTTATTTGAATCTTGATTTTATAAGAGATTCTTCTCTGTGAAATACTATCTGTTGAAATGTAGAGTAATTAAGTTAATGGAAACCTTTATAAAATATGTCATTTATTGTTATATTGTTTGACGTTAATTAACTTTGAAAGATATCAGTCAGATTTATTGCTCTGAAACTATTTTCTTCCAATAAAACACACTGTTACAGTTAATTTTTTTTAAATCTGCATGTCCAATACAGTTTTATAAATGCGTAAAATTGAAGTACAGATTTGAATTAGTTCTAAGAATCTTTGTTTAATTGTATTTACCCTTATCCTCCTCTCTGGAAGACTTTTACAGAACAAGGATAAGGTAAAAAAGACTATAATCCCAAATTTACAAAGTTCTATAAATCTATCAAATTACATTCTTTAGATGTTTATATAACATTAGTCAATTAGATATCAGTAACAAAAACAATTAATTTTGACTTTGATATCTGCTTAAGACTTTCAAACTTCTAGCAGTTGAGGAAAGTTGCCAAAACTGCTTTATTTTGTGGTCTTCCAGTTAATATTTAGATATGAACAACAGCCTTACCTCAAAAGATACTTTGCCACAAGATTTCATATACAAAATTATTGATATGGATTAAATATCTTTTTTAAGTACAGCTGTTCTCATATTAATTTCACAAGCAGACAACCTTAACTACATAAGGGCATACACCACAAGCACAGGGACACATTCCTATGCATACACCACAAGCACATAAATATGCAGTGGTGACTGTGGTAACTATTTTTATGAAGTTTAATATTTTTAGATTTTTAGAGGAGCTTGATAATCCATATTATGTATAAAGATGAATTATGGTCAAAATATTTTTGCAATACCTGAAGAATTTGTTCTCAATAATTTTCAAAAAGAGAGGTGAAAGCTACCAAAGGGACATTTGAACTCATAAGTCAAAAATGAACTGACAATGCCATGGCATAAAAAAACACAACATAGAAAACTAAAGACTGAGCAACAAAAACCCAACCAAAAGAACCACGGTGACGTCAGGTGCTCTGGAGAGGTAAGCAGATCCTGCTCCACATATGGCTCATATTATTTTAAAATAGCATTTCAACAAGTATGCTCTTTTAATTGGTATGGAAGCTATAAGTTTTGTTAATGTTAGCAAAGAAGAAAAATTATTTTTCTGGTGTAATACATTACAGTTTACATTTTTGTTGATTGCATCAAAATAAGTCAGACTTGTATTGTCATTTGTTTAGGTGATAAGACAGACCATATCATCATCACTCTAAGAAATGGAGGTGTGTTTGTCCGAGTCAACTTAGGATCTGGCCCATGGGAAGAACTTTTGCCAGCCAATGGCTACAGATTTGATGATAACCAGTGGCACCATCTAGTGGTTAAAAGAAAATCGAGAGAGGTAACGAAAAAATGAGTACACTTTTAGTCTTAAAGATGCACATTTTATTACCTCACTTTAAAGTATTCATAGTGCTCATTCCAAATATACCAGTATAGTAATAGCTAGAATCTTTTGTAATGAAAAAAATAGTCTACAGAATTACATACTGTGGCTTTAGTTTTCCATATACCAAATGTAATCAAATGTAATCATTGTTTTCATATACTTTTAAGTAAACTGTTCAAAAACAAATACTTGATGGAATTAACTGTTAAATAGCTTCATGCATGTCTGGTTAAAAAGATTAAACTGTACTTCTTTCTGTGATAAAACTCTTAACAGTCAACTTAAAATTTGATACACCTAAGTTAAAACATCAATTGAGGAATTTTCCTAAACTTATATTCTACATGTCATTAAGGCATAAAGTGACTTTTCCATGACTGCATTGATCACTGGTGTTAAACTGATAATCGTAATTGGAATTCCGACGATCCCAATATGGCGACGGCAGAAATAGGTAAAATCTTTTCGGTCATTTTTCTCAAATGTAGCCCATTGTTGTCAAGAGTTACTCAGCTGCAAGGTTTTTCTATACCATTACATCATATTTGAATCGTAATGGTGCACTATAATTGCCTAAGCGCTTAGAAAATTGCCGTCGAAAAATTCGGGATGATAATTGTAACTCTCAAAAATGATAATCGTAATTTCGGTATTAATAAATAAAAAGATAATCGTAACTGGATAGTGTTTGATTGGTATTGACACGAAATACGTCTACATAAAAGCATATGATGAAAATATGGTGATGAATTAATCACGAAAACGTTCCCACATCTTATGACATTTCTTTTTGTGCATATATGATTAACAGTTCAAATGTAAACAGCTACATACTAGTATATATCATAAAATTGGAAGGGGGACTACTTCTATAAATTTGTAAATGGGGAAACACGAACTATGTTAAAATACTGAAAACTCCAGGAACTAAGACCGTCACAAAATATGGGAGAAAATTTAAAAAAATGTCATCATGATCTCTTCATGTTTAGAGTTAAAAAGAAATATTGTTTGGTATTCTATTTAAATACGGACTTGAAAACAAATGTCACACCTTTTTGAATGTGCAAAAAGTTGTATAGCCCATAAATACTATAAAAATGCTTAGCTACTTCATGACCGTCACTGACATTTCGATATCTCAGAAAATAACTATAAATTTTAACAACACCAATTTAGTTTGGCATTCTAATAATATGACATCCTTTAAACGTTTAAAGATAATATAAGAGTAGAGAAAAGTTGGAATGCTTTGTTTGTTATGGAGTTAAGCACATGGTGACGTGGAGTTCATTGGCAAACATGGATTTGTGTTCTTTAATAGTTTGGCCAAAAGCCAGAAGATCAAGAAATCAAATTGATGTGGCCTTAATTTACCTTACAAGCTATATTTATTCAAAGAATGACTGCAACTTAAGAAATCATAAATACTTGGTATATGAAAAATATGCTGCATACATATGCATGGAAGTTATTGTAGAGAAAAAATATTAAAGGTAACAAAGAACATTTTTGTACTTGCATAATTACCATATACTTAATACTTTTCTATCAAATGAAAACAAAAATTAGCCTTTCATAATTGTCATGCATTTTTCTGAAGCTCAAAATATTTGATTGATTATCTATTAAAGTCTTTGTAATTAAACCAGTTTCGACCGTGATGATCTACATATTATGCCTTCTGAGGACCAATACACATATATTTCCATTCTCAATTTGATAATATATATTTGTGGTTTTTTTTTCAGTCCTTCAAATACTTCGCAAGACTATACGCGCCATTTAGTTAAGGCTAATAAAAACAATAAACACAAGTAACAATAAACACAAGTAACAATAAACATGGAACAATAAACACAAGTAACAATAAACACAAGGAACAATAAACACAAGTAACAATAAACACAAGGAACAATTAACACAAGGAACAATAAACACAAGTAACAATAAACAATAGTAACAATAAACTGGTAACTATTCTAGATCCTTTACCATCCACCCTGTTTAAAAAAACGTCCTAAAATACATAGGTATTTAATCAAAATACTTGAATTTAATTTTTAAAATCATATGAAATATCAGTGTAAAACAGAACAAAAGTGAATTCACTTGAAAAATATGAACGGCTATTTTAACCGGGATACATTTCACTCCAAAATTCAACTATATGTATTTCTATTGAAATATAAGGAAAAGGGCAAAATGAAAACTCATATCCACCAATCAAAGTATCAACTGTTAAATCCAATAATGCAGCTAAGTAACTGATGGAAAATTTTGTTCATTTCTCGCAGAAATTTAGTATAAATGTTCAGTTTATAGCACCCCACCCCCCACCCCTATTTCCCTTTTACATTGTGGACCCATCCCCGAATATAAACAACAGGGAACTCTAAACTGACAGCAATCTTATGATAAATGAGGTCTGTATAAGGCACGGGGGAAGGGGTGGTGTCACTTCTGGCGTGCTGCTGAAATTAAAAAAAAATATCCCCTTTCATATATTGCCGTAGACCAAAAATCTGATCCATGTTATAACTTATATATTTATATAGGAAGTAACCCACAGCCACCCCGGTGGTATAGGGAATGTTGAGATAGGGGAGGTTAACCTGCCCTTTTTATTGATTTAAAAGTTGATTGGATATATGCAATATTTGAGGCAAAACATATGGCATATTGAAATGTGGTATACAGGACTTTCATTTGAAAGGATTGCACTTTTGGGATATGGGATAATGCTAATACCCCCCCCTTTTCCCCACTTCCAAAAAAAACCCTAAACTTGAAAACAACATTGAAACTTTGAAAGAATTTAAATTATCTATTTACCACAATAACTGCCTCGACAGCTGCTTCATTTTCCATATCTTTAACAGGTACATGTATATATTAAAAGGTTATGCATATTGTTGTCAGTTATAAATCGAGATATATATACATGTAGATAAATTTGTCCTAAATATTAACCTGTAAGTTGCTTCATTATTTTTTATTTTGCACGTTAATGTCATCGTTTAACTGGACATTGCCATTTTTACACACAAAATACCATTGACAAGCTGGAAGACACATTTATTATTTTCAGTTACTATTATCCCATAAAGAAATTACGATTATCAAACAAGAAAAATGCCATCGAATTACGATTATCATCCCGAATTTTTCGACGGCAATTTTCTAAGCGCTTTGACAATTATAGTGCACCGTTACGATTCAAATATGATGTAATGGTATAGAAAAACCTTGCAGCTGAGTAACTCTTGACAACAACGGGCTAAATTTGAGAAAAATGACTGAAACAATTTTACCTATTTCTGCCGTCGCTATATTGGGATTGTCGTAATTCCAGTTACGATTATCAGTTTAACACCAGTGATTGATTTCCTCCCTAGTCACTGTGACAAGCATTCCTGAGAGATTGATGGATAGATGTTTGGTTGCTTAATGTCCAGTGGCAAATAAAATGCACTTTCAGGATGAGAACATGTTAGAGCAATATGGTAATGAACCCTGCTTTGTACTGAGCTGGATTTATTGTGCTAGTTCACAAGGTAACAGTCTGCAGGAAAACATGTCACTCTACCCGGACACATTATTTTGACTCCGAGTCTGAGTGCCAAATTGATGAGTCCCATAGTGAAACACAAGATTTCTATGCTCTGTTAGCAGTTGCTACCTTGTCTTTGATCCTTCTGTACAAATTGAGAGAAAAAGGGACAATAAGATGGTAAATAAATTGGTCTCATACAAATTACTAGCAACTATGAATTATTTTAGCACTACTTTCAAATAATGACTTAGTGGTGGATTACCCCATGTGTATAGGAAAAGAGAAAAATGATACTTACTGATGGAACTGACAGAATAAACATTATCACCTTAAGATTTCATAAGTAAATTAATAAAGAGAAATAAATCTAATGGATTTAGGATGTTATGATAACTTTGTCAATTATATCGTCTAGAATCAGAAATCTAGACGTCCTTTTAATTGGACTGTATCTACTTTATAAGTGCAAGACCCCAAAATTAATAATATTGTCTGCAGGAAATTAATTCTCTCTAAATTCTGTCAGAGAAAATTAATATCCTCCAGAAGAAAATCAACATAAAAGGTGAAAAATATTGGCATATTAGTAACAGATATGCTTTATTATTGTAGTGAAATGAAATTTAATATTTGATATGATCTATTTGTTTAAGACATAATTCATGCCATGCTCTATGCTCATTTTAACATAGGTAGGCATCATATTTGTCAATATCTTTATACCAAGCGTTAGCGAAATGTAAAATGTTGACAAACATATGCCTACCATGTTAAAATGATCATAGAGCAACTGTTCATTCATTTCCTGTTTGAGATAAACATTGGTCATTTGGAGTCAGCACTGTAAAACATTGTTATCTGCAAGCTTTATTATTTATTATTATTCTTTATACTTAATTTAATAGATTATATGATGTAATAATTACAAGTATTTTAAACCACATATTATACCAGTACTTTAGCATCAGTAATGTAAAGTGGATAATTTTTTGAGGTTTTTATTTTTGCTATTTTCGCAATTGTGATAAAATTGCTAAAACATCATCTCATGTAATTGCAATCTTTTAATTAAGATCAGAATCAAAGACAAGGAAGACTTGAAAATAAACCTGACTAACAGGTTAATTGGCCATTAAAACTCTGCGAAAGTCAACCACTTTGTAGTAACTCTTTTAATAATGAGATGACTTAATGTTGAATGTTTACTAGAAGTGAAAATTTCTGAAGAACAAGGTATATTATAGTTACTGCTATAGATGGAGAGAAATACTTAGTCAAGTCACATTTACATAAAGTTGTTGGAAATACCAGCTGGTATAGTAAAAGGTGAAGGAAATATTACAATTGTGATTCAAGTCAATGAAAAATAATAATGCCTTCCTGAAGTTTGTTGTACTGTATGGTGCCATATCCTTATAAGCTGGGTTGCTTAAAACATTTACCCACTAGGCATTAACCTTGGTGATATATCAAGGAACTGGTTCTGTGTAAAGCCCTGGAACTCACTATATATATTTTTGATGAAACTTGACAATAAAATTGGTATCACTGATTTAAAAGATAAAAATTTGGGAAAACATAGATATCAAATTTAGCTATTAGCATGTAATATAAAAGAAAAAATCTGTCTTGAAATTTTACGTTTTATATTGAACTTTTATTAAAGGATTGGTCCCCATTAAAAAAATCCAATAAATATATGATAAAGCCTTTATTTTAAGGATGGTTCTAAGGTTATTGTCCTGTACTTATTTCTGATCAAAATGATGTAGTTGATAACTTTGTTTAAATATATCAAAATACAAAAATATAGAGGAAAAGAAAGTTATGTAAGAAATGTGTAAAATAGAATGGAAGTAATATGTGTATGCAGATGTGAAAAGTGATTTCAGCAGTTTTTTATCCTAAATATTGCTTGCATGTTCAAATTATGGGCACCTCTTATTGCAATTGCTAAATATTGCACATATTTAATTTGAAACCACAGTAGTATTGTATAGTTGCATCATGTTTGAGTTTTTACTTTTTTGCCATCAGCTCACTACAGGGAATGCTAAAGCGGTAGTAAGTAAGCATGTCCCCCAACACTGCACGCTTTGTCTTATGTTTGTGTAATCCTGCATGGTCATTACCCAAATAACTTGTGTTTCATGTGATTGTCAATTCAAACTGTAGGCAAAGTGTCACTAACTGTGACAGAAGTTATAGTCTTTTTTTCTGAATCAGTGAATTGAGTTGTGATAATGCCATTAACAGAACTAATAATTATCAGAAAGAAGGCTGTAATTTTATTGGACCTATATATAATTAGATGAAAACAGAGTAAAAAGTCTGTTAAATGGGGATAAACAAGAGAAAATCTATATAACCTTAGTAACTTGAGAACATAATTTTGAACAGGTAATTATGCTATGAATCCAATTATTATTTTTATTTTCCTTTTTTATCATTTTCTCTTGATATTATACCCTAGCTGTTTTATTGAAGTTTGTCACAAACTAAATTGAATTCTGCTCATTTTTGTCTTTCTTTTTTCTGCTACTTCATAAAATTATAATAAGATAAATCCCTTGTCTTATTGAGTTGATTATAAACTTCCATCTTAAAAAAATATGGAGACAGCAGAGCCTATGTAATTCTGAAACATTTATAAACAAAAGATAAATAACTGTTACTGTTATGCTATATCAGAACAAATCTTGTCTTAAACACATTTTTGCCAGTACTGATATCTTGGACACATTGGCAAACACTGTAAAATATACCAAACAGAATATGAATCTTTTTTAATTTTCAGTTACAATTAGTATTGTGTTATACAAGGACAATGCTAAAAAGCATTTAAAAGTATAATGAACATTTAGAATACAAGTGTCAGATAAGTATGGCTCACTACAATGTTTTTCATGCAGAATGGTTATTTCTAGTAGTTGCTTTTAGATTTAATTGTTTTATCCATTAGTGTTGGCACCTATACTTGTCACTGTACACTTCAACAGTATTTCTGGTCAGGCTGAAATTAAATCACATTATTTACTCCTTGTGTGGAAAAAATAAGATGTAATGAGGCAAAAGTCGGTGATTTCAAATCTCAACAGGAAACTTGTTCTGATGCTGTGCTCATACAATATGGATGTTTTCTGATATAGAATGGACATTATAATTAGCCTCAGTTGTTCAGATTACAATCAGAAACACTCCTGATATCTTTGAGCTATGGATAAATTTAATTAGTTTTTACTTACATTTAAGGAAAAAAGAGAATAGATTTTAGCTGACTTAATAACTTCATGCAAAATCAAGGATAGTAAAAAAATATAAGGTTTATTTATTTTTTAAGGAATTCACATGGTTATCTATCTTAATTAAGACCATTGTCTTATTGTACATTGGTTTGAATTATTAAATCTAAGTGTGTTTCTTTCCTGTTTTACTCCCATTGATCTAAACAAGTGTATGCTAGTAGAGATGACATAGTCTTGCATAGTTAATAACAGTGATCTGCAACCATTGCATGTTAGTTGTCTTGTACACTGTGTCAGAAGTATTGTAGAAATGTTTGTTCCTTATGACTCGTCAGGATCCTGTAACTGATATGACCATTGTTTAGGGTAGCCTTCCACAAAACATTCATCACCTTTACTTATTTTAAATTATAGCATAAGGGTCCTTTGATGCTTTTTAAAATGAACCTTGAGTAATATACAGTTATTACTGTTCTTTATTGATATTTAAGAACTTTAATATAACAATGAATATTTTTTGGCAGTGTACTCTTTCCATTTGAAAGCAAAATACTTGTGTTTTCCAGGGGTTTTATTTTTGACAAAATGAACACACTAATGTAAGGTAGAAATACACTAGTTCATTTCATGCACTTGAAATTCTAATGAATGAAAGAACACAAAATAGAGGCGTTAATTTTCTTAAATAATTTGTGAATATCACAAATAAACGGAGCACAATGGAGTAATAAAACTTAATGTTGTGATTAGCATTGACTATGCAAAAAAAATAGCAAAAGTAAAAGACATAACACACTCCTTTTATTAATTTCGGTACAACGTTCTATTTGCAATTGTGCTAAGCTCCACATACTCACATGAATATATTACTGGTATTGACTATTAAGAACAGCTGAAGTGACTATCAGGCAATATCAAAATTGATCATACATAGCAAAATCTGCATCAGTAACCTGCTATATCAAATTGACTCACCAATAACAGAAAGAATACCCAGGAGCAATTATATTGACCTAGGATTGATACAGCAGGTGTTATACACATTTTTGCATGTACTGTTTCCTTTATCATATCCAGTGGCCTAGCTTGCCCTAAATAAAAGGTACTGTACCCCTCTGCCTTTTCTCTGCTCCTTGATGGCCTATGCATTTTTGTTTTCTGAAAATAAATAGATATCTTTTTAATGCAAATAAAATTATTTTACTACTGAAAAAGCTTTATACAACCCTAAAATACTAAAAATCAAGCAAAAATACATTAATTCATTTAATTTTTTAACTTTTATCTATAAACATGATCAACTTGTTGCTTCTACGACAAGAAACCATCTTGAAACTGCCCTCTGCCCTTATCCTAGCTAGAACACTAGCATATAAATATTGAATAGCGATAAATAGCGATAATGCAAGTGACTTGGATCAAGGTATATATATGATGTAAAAGAGACGCAAAAGATACCAAAGGGACATTCAAACTCATAAGTTGAAAATAAACTGATAAAAACGTCATGGCTAAAAAAGAAAAAGACCAACAGACAAACCGACAAACAACATAGAAAACTAAAGACTGAGTAACACGAACCGCACCAAAAATTGGGGTAATCTCATGTGCTCCGGAAGGGTAAGCAGATCCTTCTCCACATGTGACACCTGTTGTGTTGCTCATGTTAGTACAAACCCTGTAATAAGTCTAATTTGGTAGGTCACATTAGGGGAAAAGGGGACTGGATTGTAGTTACAACAATTGGAACATATCTGCTCTCATCTGTGAAATGGATATTCCATAACGGTCAACCAACTTGTGATGATGTAACAATCATCTTTATCATACATTCAAAACCATAGTCCAGCTAAGTAAATATATGATTACGGGTATGTTATACTGTAAATTCAGAAATTGTTGTGTCCATTTATTATTGCGAATTTTTAAGAAAGGACAAAAATGTGAGATTAATTATTGCCATTGCGGGAAAATCTGAAGGCAGATATATATGTATCAAATATCAGAATGCGAGTTCTTATTATTGCGATACTCGCCCAGTCGCATAATTCCCATTAATAAATACAATGCAATAATTTCTGAATTTACAGTACTCAAGAAGAAAGCATTAGTTTGTATGGATATTTTTACATTTTACAATGATTACTATCAAGAAAAGGAAAACAGGTCTTTCATTTTTCAGCATTAAGATTGATGAGTTATATAGTATTAGAACAGTACCATGGGGGAAAACAAACAGTAATTTATCTATGTCTGACAATTATTTAATTGATTTAAAAGATCATTTTCTCTATTTCTATCAAGCATTGTCTTTATCTGTCAGATGTACAAAAATCAATTAGGAAAGTATACTTTGTCCTGTTTAAAGCTGTTATATCACCACATTTAATCCACTCAAAATACAACTTTTTACAGGGGAATCGAGATATTTGACACATTTCAAATTTAGGTTATTTAGGAGATTTACAGACTTATAGAGCAATTGGAACTTTCAGTGCTGGTGACAAATTTTCAAACACTTCAATTCTATTTACTAAAATTGTCAGTTAAAACTATAGAAGTGTTATGAAAAATTGTTATACAGTGGGCCATTGATGCTGTAATCTGGGTCTAATGTGAATCAGATCAGCAACTACTTTCCTTGACCAGAAAACCCCTTGCATTTAATCCATATCAAATCATAGTATTAAAATAACTATAGTAATAAGTATAACTTTTTACACTTCTGCACAATTTCTACCAACATTTACCTTTACAAAACTGAAAGACTTTGTGTTTGTGGCAATAGGAGATACAGCTTCATTTTGATGTTTCAGTTGTTGCTTTTTTGTGTTAAGTTTGGAAGAAACATATAGAGGTACAAATTAAATTCTTAATTGTTTTATTTTACTTTTTTGTCTCGCCTTGATGGAGTCAAAAAGCGAGACATAGGTATGCTGTTTCCAGCGTCAGCGACGGCAGTATTGGCCTCAACAATGTATTAGTTTGTGATTAGGTCTAGTTCATGGTGAACCACTAATGGTAGGTCAATGATATTTGGTATGCAGTTGTATTAGCATTGGCACATCTCATTACCTTGGAGATTATTTGGCCCCGCCCCCTCAGTCAAGGTCTATTGACCCTGAAACTTTTCATAGTTTACATGTATTAGTTTGTGATTAGGTCAATTTATGGGAAACCACTAGTGGTAGGTCAATGATATTTAGTATGCAGTTGTATAAGCATTGGCACATCTCATTACCATGAGGTTTATTTGGCCCTGCCCCCTCAGTCAAGGTCTATTGACTTTGAAACTTTTCATAGTTTACATGTATTAGTTTGTGGTTAGGTCAATTTATGGGGAACCACTAGTGGTAGGTCAATAATATTTGGTATGTAGTTGTATAAGCATTAGCATATCTCATTTCCATGGAGATTATATGGCTCCGCCCCCTTAGTCATGGTCTATAGACTTTGAAAATTTTGCTAAGTTAACATGTATTAGTTTGTGATCAGGTCAGTTCAAGGGGAACCATTAGTGGTAGGCCAATGTTAATTGGTGTTCAGTTGTATAAGCATTAGCACATCTTATTTCCATGGAGAATATTTGGCCCCGCCCCCTCAGTCATGGTCTATTTACTTTGAAACTTTTGCTTAGTATTCATGTATTAGTTTGTGATTAGATCAGTTTAAGATGAACTGTTAATGTTAAGTCAATGATATTTGGTATGCAAATTTATTGGCATTTGCAAGTATCGTTTCCATGGAGATTATATAGCCCCACCCCTGATCATGGTTCATTGACTTTTAAACTTTTACATAGTTTACAAGTTAATGTTTGTGTTTAGGTTTGTTTAAAGGGAACGACTTATAATAAGTCAATGGTATTTGGTATGCAGTTGTATTAGCATTGGCACATCTCATTCCATGGAGATTGTTTAGCCATGTACCTTCAGTCATGGTTCATCGACTTCGACAAAAAGGCGAGACATATCTCTGTGATAACAGTTTATGGAGAAAGGTGTGCCTAGTAATACAATGTGGGCTGTTGCTCATTGTTTGAGACTTGACAGTGAATGTAAGATGTTCACTTCCTTAGCAAATGGCTTTTGGTTGGTTTTGCTTGTGTCATCAGCATGTGATTTAGATGAATAAGAGCATTAAAAGTTAATCTTTGACCCAGCTTTAGAAGGCTTAAACTTGAAGCATATATAAGACAAAACACTGAAGGGTATTGTGATAAAATAACAATTACAGTGGATTCATTATTATATATTCGCTGGGTACCAAGTTTCATGGATATCATGGGTAAAAATGAACCACAAATTTAAATGTTCAACATAGTATAAATTTCTCTTAGGCTTGTATTTAAACTTTGGAAAAACCATAAAATAATCAAATTTTCCTCAATCCACAAAATTTAGTACCCACAAAAATTAATGAATCTACTCTAACAATTTTTTGAATGATTTTGTAACTTGACCATTAGTTAGAAGAACGGTTTGTTTATGAATATCTTCTGCAGTAAAAACAGTGGACTTAATGAATTCAGAAGAAGTAAAGAATAGGATAAATACTCTATGATTTACAAAAAAAACTGTCAGTATGCAAGATGGAAAGACAAGAACATTTTTTTCTTGGCTGATTTGTTAATAATTCAACATTTAACTTTGTCATAAAGTTTTATTCTTTATTTCAGATCCATGTAGAGGTAGATGGTTCACATAGACTAGACGGGACTACTTTAGGGTCATATGTCATGTTGCATATCATTACATTGTATGTTGGTGGAGGTCCTAGTCCACTTTACAAAAACAGGCCTACACACAATTTTAAAGGATGTCTAAAAAAGGTAAAGTTTCAAATTGTTTGTCATAAGAGGCAGTGAAAAGTAAAGTATTATTTGGTCATACATCTTTGTTTTAACTGTGATTGTTTAATTCCAACATGCCTTGAATGTTGATTGTTTTAAGGCTTAGAAAAATCTCAATTTAAAAAAAAAAGATAACTTGTTTTTTGCTTCATGTTATTAAGTTTTGAACTTTTGATTTCTCCCTAACTTGTTTTTTGCTTCATGTTGTTATGTAATGGACTTTTGATTTCTCCCTATGGGGTGGAAAATTTGTTGAAGAAAGAGATATTGACATTAGACAAATCCACCTTTTGAGCTATAAGGAGAATAACACTAGATTAGAGACAAAAGGTCAGAACATTACTAATTCCCACAAGGAAAGCTTGTACTTTTAATAAATGTAAATGTAATCAGAGTACCATTGTACTTTGCTATTGTCTTTCACATCATTATCCTGGATTTGAATTTTTTGTGTTCTGCTTCTATTTTTAAGTTTCCAAGTTTGTCTGTACTTTTATGGATTAACTTAGAAAATAAGCAACCACACAGGCAGACAAAATAGATAGGTAGACAAGTGAGCATCAGGTGTTTATATGAAAATTGGATTTTAAAGGTGATTGAATCCTTGACTGGGTATTTACCACTGTTTGAAATTTCATTCTGCTTGTGGATTTTTGATTTTATCTGTGAATGTTAGTCATTATTAAAACATTAGAAATTATTTTATTGACTGACTGCATTTTTTAATCAAGATGAAATGAAACCACAGATTCCAATTAAACAGCATGCAGTTCTAATTATTTTGAAATATGAAAATTAAAAAGTAGTACTCTTCAAAAGAAGAAAAGCGTTATGAGTTTTGTGACTAATGCATATTAAATAAATTACATAATATTTTCTTTCAAATTAGATATAAAAGAAAAAAGCTCTTCAAAAGTAAATTATTCTCGAATAAGTTGCCTTTTCTCACAATTTTTTTAAAGCCATGCCCTACGATTTTGTCATCATGATAAACATTTAGGAATGTTGTTCATCCCTGTGGGCGAACAGCCATTTGCATTTAAGTTTCTAATGAGAATACTGCCTATGAAATTTGTTAATGAAGCATTCTTTCATTTGTTTTTTAACTATTTGTAACAAAGTGAAACATGTACAACATGAGGAATGGTGATAAGAATAGACATGTCACAAGGGAATATTTTCCTTAGAAAACAACTAATGCAAGACTGGATCTTCAAAAAGTTTTAATCAAATGTCATGGCACATTGATCAATTCATTATATGCAGTAATTCTTCAAATAAATGAACAAATAATGAACTAATGAAAACATAGCATGAAAAACACTTTGAATTAACACATTAAAATATTATTTCCTTTTTTAAATCAGTGTTTGCTTGATACTTATTAGGTACTTTATATTTTTCTTGTGGGGGCCTCTGTGGCTAAATTGTCCAACTCCTGTATCACTAGCTTGTTAACACTGAAGTTGTGAGTTCAAAGCCCGTACGTGGCAGGTGTATTTTGACTCCAATCTTAATTGACTAGGATTGTCAGTTTTTCTATTGAGAGTAGTGGTTATCTCTGGGCACTATGGTTTCTTCTCCCAACAAAAACCTGCAACGAAATAGCCAATAGTGCTGAAAGTGGCATTAAACACCAATCAATCAATCAATCAATATTTTATCTTGTAAGTCGTCCTAAGTATACACACTTTATACAAACTAGAGGTTCTACCCTCCACTTTTTCTGTTGAAATAGGTTTTAATCAAGTCACAAATATGTTGATCATTTGTTGCTTTGGTTGATTAGGTAAAATGTTTCATATTTTCCTCAATGGTAGATTACATTTGGTTTTTGTTGCTACTACAAAATGTATCTTTTACACACTGAATCACTAACAGATCAAATAAATGAATAATATTTGATGAACATTCTAATTGGCAATACAAAGAATGTTCTTGAAAAGTATCAGATGTAGGTAAGAGGGAAAATTATATGATCACAGTTCATTAGAAGTGTCGCTTACAAAAACTCTGCCAGAGTGGACTTCTTAATGCATTAATATAAAAATAAGAAGATGTGATATGATTGCCATTGAGACAACTCTCCACCAAATACGAAATGACAAATAGGTCACCGTTTGGCCTTCAACAATGAGCAAAACTCATACATGATACAGTGATACTGCATAGTAAGCTATAAAAGGCCCTGAAATGATAAATGTAAAACAATTCATGTACATATGAAGTCATTGTGTTTGCTGTTACATTGCCAACAAAAATTTTAGTGCTTTTTTTTGTAATTATGTAAATAGCTTAAGAAACTTTAAAATAAATTGCCGTCTTTTAATCCCACTACCACTTCCATGCAATGGACAGAAGGATAATTATATCGGCAGCTGAAAATGGTTTAAGCTTTAATTACTTCAACAAATTATATTAAAACAAAAGTATGTTTCGCATGTGTTTATAGGTAAATGGGTGCTTTTAAAAAAATTTATAAGTTCAAATGAACAAAATATTGGCACAAATGAAATGCTGATTAGTGCAATTGTAAAACACAGGTAATTTAGCTGTTAACTACACCGCTTCCTCCTTTGTTCTCCACTCATACCTTTCTTCTGCCTAATTGAATACTGCATAGATTGTTTAAAAGTTTATAAAGCCTACAGGTATAAAGTAATAAAGTAAAAAAAAGACATCTAGAATGGAGCATATGATCTTCATCAAAGGACCAGTTTTAAACTATCGTTAGTAAAGACATATGATTATTGCGTGCTAAATGCCCCCTTTGTAAAGACAAATTATTAAATTTTCTAATAAAGATAAGCTATCAAAACCAAATTATGTTATCTAGATCAGAGAAATGTCAAAAGGTACATTAAAAAATGTACAGTAAGAATCAGTCTAGAAAAAGTTTCTTAACTCTATAAAACATATATCAGTATAATAGATGCTTCATGTATTAGGTAGAAGCAAAACAAAACTAGATAATACAATATTGAAGATTGCTCACAGTTGTTGAAAGCAAGCTCAAAGTACTTTTAAATCTAGAGTTATGCCCTCTAACAACAGTCAACTACTAATGTCAACTCTTTTGTTTTAGGTTGTATACAGTAGTAATAAAATATCTATGGATATCACAACAATGGCGATGGATGGTGAATTGACAGTATTTGGTGATGTGATCTTCAATCAATGTCAGGACATGGTAGAATCCCAGCCGGTAACATTTACAACACCAGATTCTTACATCGTATTACCCAGGTGGGAAGTTGGTATACATGGTGGGAGTATCTCATTTACTTTCCAAACTAATGAGCTTAGCGGTGTTCTAATATATAATTATGGTTTAACTAATTTAGACTTTTTTGCTTTTGAAATTTTAGACGGTTATCTGAATTTCTTGATAAATTTAGGCTCAGGAACAGAAAAAGTGAAAATGAAGTATATTAGTGATGGGAAACCACACTCAGTCTCTTTACATCATGCTGGTAAAAATGGTCACATTCTTCTAGATGGAAATAAAATTACTTATGCACTAGGAGGTGATAGCAATCATTTAGATCTGGATAGTAAGCTGTATGTTGGAGGTATTGACAGATCTATTAAACAAAGAACAATGCCAACAGGAATATGGGCTGCCATTTTGAGCAATGGTTTTGTTGGTTGTCTACATGACTTAGTTATGAATGGTAATAAGATAGATCTGATCACAGCTGCAAGAAAACAGATGATATCAACCATCAAGGATTTCTGTAAAGTAATGGAGCCTCAGTGTAACCAGGGATCCTGTCTTCATCATGGTGTGTGTCATGAAGGATGGAATCGATATATGTGTGACTGTCGTGGGACTGATTACACTGGACCTATCTGTCAGAAAGGTAATCATTTTTAAAGCTGTTATCAGAAATATTCCAAAAATAACATAAAGAGGCTATACATTTTTATGAATTTCTGAATGCTGCTACACTAGATCTTTCTAATTACAAAACAAATTGCAATAAAACTCATTTTTATCTGCCCTCTTCTCTCATTGCGCTCAAAAGTTATCAGTTGAAAGTCAAATTGTTCTTTCAAAATAGGCATGAAATATTTCCCACTGGAATTTTGGTAATAGACAATTTACCAATCTTTTAGAAATTCAGAACATATACAATTACTCCAAAGAATTCTGCTAAAAGCAGATAAAGACTAAAAAAAGTAGACAGGACGTGATTCAATAAAGTTGATGAGCCAAATATGTGCAGTATATGAATTAGAAGCTTAGATACTAGAAAAATATCTGCTGCCCAAGTGGCCAGTATATAGTGATGGGGGAGCCAGTTTGTTCCTTCATTTGTCCTTTTGTTTTTCATCCTTCTGTCATACATTGGACTTTGCTCCAGAATCGCGAGGCACATACTCGCATAATGCACTTTTACACCACCTATTTCATTTCTTCATCTGAATAAGTTTTTGAGTTTACTTTGGGATGAAATTGACTTCTACATATCTGCACTCTAAAGTACACATGACATCTGTATCACTTCTCTTTAACATCTAATCATAATTTGATCAATCTTGTTTTTGGTCCAAATTATCATTTGGGTGTACTTTGCCATTGCTTTTTATTTGGGGTTTCCCATTTTGTATCAGTAACTCCTACTTATCCCCTTCTTACAATTTATTGAACATTTTTCACAGTCTTAACCATAAAATGCCATTGTGCACCTCCTATTTTTTTGTTTTGTCTGAATTATTTTTTTGGGGTTCCCAAATCAAATCATGGCCTTTACATAGGACTGTGGACTGGAGCATCATTTTGTGAGTTTTGCTCACAGTACCTCTGGTTTCATTTTGGATTCATGGATTTCAAGAATTTACATGACACATTTATTTTTCTGATGATGAAAATTATTTCAGGAAATTTCTTTCCAAAATAGAATTTTTATCTTCTGAATTATAAAGAATATGTATAAACATTACCTAAGCAGTTTGAGGACAAATAATTAGGCACTTAAAATTCCTAAACCTAACAGCTTAAAAGACTAAAAATCAATTTGGAGGTAGATTTCCTTCAGTTCAAACTTCTAAGATACTTAAGATATTTTTTAACCCAGTAAAATTACATATTTTTCTGTTTCAATCTGTCTGTTAACTTGCCCTTTGAGAATTGATATGTTCATTTAAAAACATACAAAACTGATTAAGGTTTAAATTTTTGTTAAGGTGCCACGACGCTTGAATTTAATGGGAACCAGTTCCTGAAGATTACTATGGATGACACATCAATAACAGAAGCCGAAGATATCTCATTACGATTCAGGACAACTCACAAAAATGGATTATTGTTTATTACATCGTCAGATGACTCCCCTGATAAGATGGAGCTGTATTTGGAATCTGGTTCCGTGAAGCTAGATATCAAGATAGGCCAAAGCTCCAAGGTATTGATAGAATATTGTTGTGAGAGATTTTATAGCTGTTTAATATAATTTCCATGTATGGGATGCCTTGAAGACAATTCTAATAAAGGATATAATTAAGGATAATGTTTCTCGTACTAGTAAACTGTTGTTGAATAATTATTCTGTACTTTAGAATACTAGGTCAATAGTTCAAAAGAATTCTGAGGGGAAAAAACTTGAAAGGTGTGTTAAATATGTATTTCCTAATAATCACTGAATCAATTAACTCGGTGATGTTTGAATTTTACATGAGCAGCTATCATAGTCGCGTGAAAAGATGGTATAAAACGTTATCTCAGCTACGATATTAATTAAAAAGTCCATTTCTAACATTAATTTGTAATAGATTGCTTATCATATCTCAGATTTCAGGTGGTTAAACATCAGCCATATTGATTTTTAATTGGTTAATTATCGAACCATGCCTAATTATGCATTATTGAATGTCAAACATCAAGTGACAAAATATTATGTAAATGAGTCTAATAAAGAATGGCTCTCAGTCACAGATCAATTACTATTGCTCAGGTTTCTAATAGTGTTACAATCCTCAATTACGTCCTGGAAAATGTAAAGACCACCTCTGTGAAACTAATAGCATTGATAACAGAGTTAAAACCACCTCTGTGAAACTAATAGTATTGATAACAGAGTTAATACCACCTCTGTGAAACTAATAGCATTGATAACAGAGTTAATACCACCTTTGTGTAATAGCATTGATAACAGAGTTAATACCACCTCTGTGAAACTACTAGCATTGATAACAGAGTTAATACCACCTCTGTGAAACTAATAGCATTGATAACAGAGTTAATACCACCTCTGTGAAACTAATAGCATTGATAACAGAGTTAATACCACCTCTGTGAAACTAATAGCATTGATAACAGAGTTAATACCACCTCTGTGTAATAGCATTGATAACAGAGTTAATACCACCTCTGTGAACCTAATAGCATTGATAATATAGTTAATACCACCTCTGTGTAATAGCATTGATAACAGAGTTAATACCACCTCTGTGTAATAGCATTGATAACAGAGTTAATACCACCTCTGTGTAATAGCATTGATAACAGAGTTAATAATTCCCTGTTTCAGAATGTAAAGGGTTTGTGGGTGAGTTAATTAATCGTTCACCAAAAATAAAAGCTCAATATGTCATTGGTTTGATATCCATTACTTAAGACATTGTTTACGGCATTGTTAACCAGTTACAAATTTGCTAGTAATATAAGTATACATTGGATTATTTACATTGGACAATATGCAGCTTGACATATTTAACGGATTATTGTCTTTGATTGGAAACTGTATTTTTCCACGATGATTTTTCTGGTTTGAATGTATTGTAGACATATACCCCATATCAGTTTTTATTAATAATTACACCGATGTCACTGCATGGTCAGTATACTGCATTGGCCTTGTCTGGCTGTTTGTTCATGTAATCCTTTCTCGATCTGCCTCAATGCTACTTCCTGTTTGGCTATATTTAAAAAAAATGTATACCTATTGAGCATAGAATTTTACAAGGAAAGATTCAATATTTGAACTGTAACTTTATATGATGAGTAGTATCCTGTAAGCAATTTTTAGATCTGCCACGCAGTTACTTCCTGTTTAAAGATAATTTGATTGTTTCATAGTTTGTCAATGTCTTATCATAAGTGGGAGTATACTTTGCAGAACATTGCTTGCAACTTCATGTTAGTTGATTGGCTTGTACTAATAAGCACACAACTGACATCATTTTGTATTATATAATGTTGTCTTACTTTGGCTTTACTTTTAAGTGTTATGTCCTGTTTTTGTAGTCTGATAACAATTTTATGACATTGCAATCCTTATCATTAAATAAAGCTGATCAATTGTATAAATTTGTTTTGTGCCTTGTTGACTTAGGAAAAACTGAGTTAATCAACATTTCCTTTTTGGAATGGATAGATATAACTGTTTTTTGGTGTATATAAATCTTCTAAAAAGTTAGAGATACAAGTTGGACACTTAGAGATAAAAATTGATTTTATTATATTTGACAATTTTTTCACTGAATGTTTTTATTTATATGGACAAATATATATTTCTGGATACTGGAGAGACTGGTTGGGGACAAAACTGTCAGATTGCTCCTTATATTGCTGAAATAACATTGATTATAACTAGTTTACTACTTATTTTTTCAGGCATTAAGTTTTCGTAGAAGAGTAAATGATGATCGATGGCATACTGTTTACATAAAAAGAAGAGGAGAGATAATCCAGCTGAAATTAGATGAAAACCCTTATATTGAAGGTATAACCATGGTTCATCTAAATGAATCAGAATGGACAAAAATGTATACAGAGATCTCTTGTTAAATAAGATGAAAACTCTCATTTTGAAGCTATAACCATGGTATATCTAAATGATTCAGAATGGACAAAAATGTATACAAAGATCTCTCATTAAAAGAAAATTAGTTTTTATTCTTATTTTCCATTTTTCACTTTTCCTCTGTTCACATAATACAAATCTACCTGGCTTAATAGAACAATTCACTGCATGTCCAGCTCAATTCTTCAATCCTTTTGTGGTAGGGGTGGGCAGCTGATACATCCAGTACCCCACCCTTTTCATATATTTTTAACATTAAAACACATACCCTATCTTATATTTGTTCTTTTATGAAAATAGACCTTTAGCTATATTACACTATTTCATGAAGTGTTTGAATAGATTTTACAAATATCTGATGCATTTATGACTGGTTTTAAGAGTATCTTTAAAAAAAACCTTACATCTGATTCAGCAGTTAAAGATACTAATGATATAATCAGCAATCTTATCATATATTAAATGTTAATTTCTTGCCTTTATCGAAGCTTGAAATAGTGACCTACATTTTGTATTCCAGTGGCTCACCCCTAAAACTCAGTATATAGTAAATGCTGCCCCTTCCCCCTCTCCTTGAGAAGCTAAAGCATTCTTATTAAGCAACACAGTGACAGTCTAGCTTTACACATATCAAAGGAACCATTTTGTTGTATTGTTGTAATATATTACAAAATTTTCATTTGATTTCTATTATTTAATCATAATTCAAAGGAGAGGCCTTGGTAGCCGAGTGGTCTATGTAGTTGAGCTATTGTATCACTAGCCTGTAAATACTGAGGTTGTGAGTTCAAATCTGGCACCTGGCAGGTGTGCTTGACTCCAATCTGAATTGACTAGGATTGTCAATTTTCCTACTGAAGGTTGTGGTTCTCTTGGGGCAATCAGGCTTCCTCCAACAATAAAAGCTGATAGCCACAAAATAGCACAATAGTGCTGAAAGTGGCATTAAACATCAATCAATCAATAATATAAAGGAAAAGATAATCTTGGGAGAAGGCATTTGATGAGCATTATTTCATTTCAGTGTTATAGGAGTTATGAGTTTTAAGTACAGTCAAATAACTTCATTAATTAATGATGCAATGATTTTTTTTCAGAGAATCTTGTTGAAAAGACGCTGAATATAAAACAGATAGTGTTAGGATCAGTCAGTCCCATGTTATCAGGTAATTATATTATTTGGACAGTGATGTTCCTGTGGTCCCTTCTTGTAGTGCATGTATTTACATAATCTATATAAAACCTGGTAAATCAGTTTAATTCAAATTGACGTGATTAAGTCAGGAATTTTGTTATCACAAATTACCTGAAACCTTTACTGAATTCTTTCATATATACAAAGATTTGGTTGGATAGACTGATTAGTCAAGCCATTTCCAATTGAGTTTTACAGTTTGTTCATATGTTGTGCTGTTACCCCACTGTCTAAGTTTAGGGGGAGTATTGAGCACCAACAATGTTTTTCAACCCTGCCACATTCTATATGTGCCTGTCCCAAGCCAGGAGCCTGTAATTTCAGTGATTTCAATTGGTTACTATCTGCCATATTTGTTTTTTGTTTATTGATTTATGAATTTGGTTTACCTATTTAATTATCTCACATTTTGTAATTCCAGGGACTTTTTTTTAGCTCATTGTTGAAGGCAGAACAGTGACTTATAGTTGTTTATATTCTCTTGGTCTCAAGTGTATATTTCTCTCATTCGCAATCATACTACTTTCTTTGTTTTTGTAAAGCATGTGACATTTATGTCACAAAGCAAGGCATAGTGATCTTAGATTCCACTATCAGCTGCAATGTCTGCATCTTCTCAACCTGTGTTTTGTGAGTGCACACAACATAGTATTGAGTAATAGTACAGTGATCTGAGTGGGGGGAATATTCATTAGATCCTATTCATGCCATATTGTCATATGGAATTGAGGTTACCTTTTTCCTCACAAGCATTAAATTTCTAATTGCCATTGTGGAATTAACATGACAATGGTGAATGAACAGTCATTGTTAATTACAATGTTGGAAAGTAGGTTAGAATGGTGATTGTTTCATTGATGTATATCCCACATCTCCTTTTATTCACATTATCAAATGCCATGGTTGAATTAAAGTTACTCTGGGATTTGTTTGGTCATAGTTAATTGTATATATGTAAAGTGTATATTAGTTATATTTTAATTACTGTGGATTCATTATTATTTGTAGTATACTAATTTTTGTGGGTGTAGGTGAACCAGGAATTTTAAATGTTTAACGAATTAGAAATTTTCTATGGGCTTGTATGCAGACATTTGCAAAACAACGAAATCAAATACCCATGAAAAAGTTTTTCTCAATCCACGAAAATTGGTACTCACAAAAATGAATGAATCCACAGTACATTGTTTTTCCTTGTAAATGACACTATATATTAAAAAGGTTTACTCTATATATATTGTATATTTGTCTCTCATTATTCAAAATCCTGCTATTAATGCTATGTTAAATGACATTGTTTTCTGTTCATTGATTTTGATGCAGTGACTAGATCAAGAATAGAATGAGTTCATTTTCTAATGCATTGATAGATAATTAATGGTTATTTTGCTTAACAAAGTAATTTGGAATGCTTTATTGAAAACCAAAATTGAGTGTTATTTCAACAGATGGAGGGATTTGACAGAGTAATTTTACACTTTGTGTAATTTTACATGGTTTGATTGAAGTTGTAATTGTCTTTTCCAATAGTGAAGATTGTTATTTATCAGGTCAAAGTTAAAGGTCAATGTCCAGTAATCTGTGCCTGGTACACATTATTTAACAGGAGATCATATACAAGGTTTTATGTAAATTAAGCTTAATGATAATCTTAATAGATACAGAAGACTTTTGTTTTACAAAATAAGTATATCGATTTTCTTACTTGATATATTTCAATACCACTTTGATGTCTTCTTGATGGCATGCATGTTGGTGCAATATATTGATGTAGCTTTGTAAATATTATCATTTGCTCAACGGTTGTTAATGAAGTGGTTTTGTTCTATCGAAATTTGAAATTATTTAATCGTAGAATTGATATCACAATTAAATAATTTAAAGTGATATTATATGACAATGTTAGAGATTTTATATTTGTTTTCTAATGGCATTAATATGGTTGTTTTTTTTAGGTTAATTTTAGATCGGTAATATTGATTTAAGAATCCTGACATTTATCACAGAGCAGTAATCAGTTTGAATCTTATTTTAATTCAAATTGACGTGTTAAATTGGAGCTAAAAGAAGAGATTTTCTTCATTTCCTGATTCACTTTGCTTATTCGATAGTCTTAATTTGTCAAACTCTCTGAGGCTAGGTGACACATTTCATCAATTGTAACTTTTCTGCTATTTTAAATCATTGGTTAACCACAGTATATTTGTCTATATTAGAATATATATTGTCTCCCCAAGCTTGTATTCACATAATTAAAACAATTGTTTTTTATAAGCTTTTAATTTAGATATCTGTAAGTCATCAAGTTCAATTATTAGGTTTGAATCCTATTATAATATTGACTTTTCTGTCTTATTGAGTATCAAGTTTTCAGCAACAGAGCTTAAGAAGTACATGTTATTTTAAGGTTTGCATATAAGATTCAAATGCATTTGCTAATACAATATAATTCCATTTTAATTAAGGCAATTAAGTCTATGAAAACTAAGTTGACAAAGAAAAGGCACTGTACAAGTTGATTTTGACTTGATCTTACGTGTAATTAATTGAACTTACTGTTAAGGGATAACTTTCAATCTGGAGAGTAATTGGAGGAAAAATGCACTGAAACATGTTTACTTAGAAAAGGCTGTCTTATTTATTCAAAGGTGCAGCACTATTTTCTTTTTTGTTACTTAATTCATTCTTATAGTTTATATTTACAAAAAATGATTTTCTGTATTTCCTCAAAACCGATTTCAGTTTTAGCCAGAAAATTCCTTAATACACGGTGTTGATGCCGTTTGTTTCCTTAAACATACAAATTTTCTGCATAACCTGATGGCAACTGACAAACTTGATAAAAAAGACCTTACAGTGGTAATTCATTTTGTTGTTTAATGAATTGAGAATGATGATTTTGTTTATTCCACAAAGAAGCACAGGAATTTGCCCATCAGGTTACAATGATTGCTAGCTTCTTTATACACTTAAGGTACAATACATTATTATGGTTTGTTTTGATAAAAGAAAATAAGTTCATATCTCATGTCCATTTAAAACATATTGATCAGTGTTTCAATGTTATATTTTAGATGAGTATATACACAGTGAGTCTGATTTCACCAAGTCAGAGATCACAAGAATGCAACAGGAAGATAATATACTCAGGCGTCACACTGGATATGTAGGTGCTATGCAACAATTTATTTTTAACAACAATCACTTTTTTGACCTAGCCAAATCAAGGAAAATGGAAAATATTGAAGTGACTGCAAAATTTGACACAGAGAACCCTGTATTGATAGACCCAGTGACATTCAAATCAAAGGATGCATATGTGATACTATCTCCATTGAATGCAAATACTCCATTTTCTATTTATCTTAAATTCAAAACAACTGAAGCAGATGGATTAATACTTTTTAACGGAGGAAGACAGGATTTTTTAGCCCTTGAACTTCAAGATGGAAACTTACATTATATTTATAATACTGGAAATGGTGCCAGGAGAATATTTGTCAACACACGTAAGAAACTCAACGACAATTTGTGGCATGATGTCTCATTAATAAGGACAAGTGTAGAACGACAGCTGATCAGGGTAGATGACAATCCTCCTACAATGGAAGACATGAATGATTTCCCATCTGTACACTTTAACCTTGACGATGACCTTTATATAGGTGGTGTGAAGAGGACAATGTTCAATACTTTACCGAGTCGTATTTCATCTAGACATGGATTCCAAGGATGTCTAGCTTCAATAGATTTAAATGGATTTAGACCAAACCTGTACACATTAGCAGGACAAAACAACAATGGTATAGCCAAAAACTGTCAAGGTTTGTATAGAAGATTACTTTTGTTGATGGTTTTATGAAGAAGTAATCAAAAAGGCAAAATAGAGCATTATTTGTAAGCCTCAAGTAATATTGCTGTCTTACGACATAAAATCCAAAATAACTAGGATAGCATTGAGGTTGTTTTTATTGATTACAATAATTTGTTGGTCAAATGTTGCCTTCCAAAGCATAGAACATATTAGAAGCAGCACAGAAATTATATTTGAATAAATGAATGTTGCTAAAACAGGTTCCTTTAGGATATAAGTTTTGTTCAGATTGGTCTGGTAATCAGATTTCTGTGTATGTTCTTATATAAAACGTCACCCTAAACAATTATAGACTTAAAAAAGGTGTCTATTTTAAATTTCTACAACATGAAAAAATATTTTGAAAGCTAAGTAATACAATTTAAAAACACTTAGAGACACATATTCTAAATTGTTTTTTCTAAAGTATTACTATTTGAATTTTATTAATTTAAACTGCTGACTTTTTTTTATGATGTTATTGGTACATTTCAGGTCCCAGTAGTGGTTGTAAAGTAGACTCTTGTCGCAACCATGGAAGATGTGTACCTCACTGGAATTCTTATACATGTGACTGTGATATGACTTCATTTACTGGTCCTACTTGTGTTGATGGTAGGTAGTCACACTTTGTCAAATCTTGTGAGATTGTTTTACCATAAAACATATAGATAAAGAACAGAATGCAATTTCTGTAGTTTGTAGTTTTACAATCATTTATATAGTGCAGACCAAAGCCCATGCTGTCATGGTTGTGTGAAGCACAGTTTAACCAGGCGCAAAGCATGGACTGAATATAATTTCCTATGTATACCAGCTTTAAGTATGAAGCAGAATTTGCTATTGTCCACATTTTAACATGTCCATGAAAAAAGGGGAAAAAATGCATCCAATTCATATAACTCAATCTCAAACCAAACATGACTTAGAAACTAATGATGTCTTTCTTTGAGATATGAAATATCTATAAAAAATCATGTGACAATATCTGTAGTAATCATATGTTATAATTTCAATTACCTTCTTGTGTATGAAAATTATATAGTATTTAGGCCACTGTTTCCTATACTTATAAGATTTGAGTGCAAATAACTTCTTAAATATATTCAACTTATTCACAATTTCATCTCACTAATGCCAAGGATTTCTAAACATTTTTAAAACCAGCTTGTACTCATAATACCGACTCAAGGAGTGGGGCTATATTGTACATCTTGTCCGTCCGTCCATTCACCCAACAAATATTACCGTAACTTTTCTCTAATAGTACGAAACTGAATGACTTCACAATTGTCAGCAGTTTGACAGTGATGATTTGTATTGTATGAGCCATTTTGGGATCTGTCAGACACCTACTTCCTGTTTGTAGTTTCAAATAGGTTGATGGAACTTAAAAAATTTCATCACATATTTTTCAAGTTCCACTTTGCAGAATGACTTCATATTTGGTCAAAAGCAAGTATTTAAACTTATGCACAGTTTCATCTTACAAATTCTTCTGTAGTATAAATGACAGCCACATCTACTCCAATGTATGAATATTTACAATCATTTTTTTCAGAGAGTGTATCCTTTTCCTTTGGTCGTAGAGGAGGACTGATAACATATGAGAGACCAAAAGGGAAATACTATGACACTACTGAGGACCAGTTTGCATTAGGATTTGCTACATCACAACTTAATGCCTGTCTTTTTAGAGTAGAAAGTGAAAATTCTAAAGACTTCATTGAGTTTTCATTGGTAAACATTGTTTTTGACAACACACTAATTTAAAAGATGTAAATTTCTTTATGAGTTTAAAATTTTGTAATAAAGTATGCTGACAGATTTAGGAATGATGCAAACTATATTCTTGTCATGAAAATTTTGGTAAAAACATTGTTTATTTGATTTTATAAAACATGAATTCTAAATATAAAATTTACTTTGTTTCCTTTGTTCCATTAGGAGATTCTGGTATTACTTGAAATTATCCAATTAAAAATTGCCACTTTTACTGTTCATTGTAGAATATGGGGAATATTTTAATATATTACAACATGGGAACACAAAGAGAAATTCCTATTGGTGAAATGCTGAAAACATTCAATGACAGGAAGTATCATGTGGTCCGATTTAAACGGTCTGGATCTAACGCCACACTTACCATAGATGATGATAAACCTATTGTAAAGATACCAGACAGTAAGTTCTTATAATTTAAGGAGAATTTTAGTTGTCTCGGTTATTTATACATTAAGCCATTAACTTTGTTAAATCCATGTTTATTATTATCATATGTTTTTTGTTGATTCATCATTTATATATCTTTGTGAAATATGAGCATGATGGTTATGTTCACATTTTTGCTATTCATTTGAGTTTGAAGGAAAAAATAATGCATTTCCCCTTGGCTCCAACAATATTGATTTCCCAAGGGAAAAAGGTAACAGCCTCATTCTGAAATTAAATTTTGTTTGGAAATTCATTGAATTTGTTGGTACACATCTGTATTGATGGTTTGAAAATATCTTGCTATTTCAGTAGAGTTCTTTGACTTTATCAAAGCAACATGCAAATCTTGTTCCTTTTATACTTAGAACCATTGCATCTGCCTTCAAGTCAATGAAAATTAATTTTCTACAAGTAATAATCAATTGACAGTGTATATAGATTTATATTACATGCCTCAATACTTTATTGTACTATAACACAATTTTCTTTTGTTTGCAACCGGGAATAATATGTGTCAACTATTTTATATACAATGTTTATGTGATTCATATTTTTTGCTTTTACTCTGTATGGTATATTGATGAGAAAATATTCAGCATTTTATAAATGTTTTAAGAATAAACAAGTTACCCGTAAAAATGTAACAAATATGCCCCTTTATAATTTGGAAAATTGCAATTTTTTTGTTTCCAAACTCTTACTTAATTTTGCCTCATTTAAAGTTTGTGAAACTCATACACAATGCTATACACAATGCTCAGATTTTTCATTCTGAAATATGGAATAACATGCGGCATTCATGTCCTCAGACACATTCTTCTTTTATTTAAACTAAATTTGGCCAGTGGAAAATGTATTTTCAAAGCTTTTTGATAGAAGTAAAAATTCCAACACCCCTTATCTGCCTTGCATGTAAGGTTTCAAAATAAGAATGGATTTTTTTACAAATGCTGTTGTAGCTCATTTGATATTGCATACAAAATGATAGAGATGAGATGTATCAGAATGTGCCAATTTCATTATATTCCTATTTTATTAAAAACAATGTCCATATAGTGAAACTTTTTTTCACAACAGCTGACTCTCATGTTTTTTCTCTCCCATTCGATCAGGCATGTTAAATAAATTTTCCCTGAACTTGGAGGACCCCTTACAGGAACTCTTGTGAAAATCTGAAATCTGAAATGATTGGGAATTTAAACATCAAAATGCAAAGTAAATTGGGACTGGAAATGACTGTCATTAAAGTGGGAGATTGGGCATGCTGTAAAATCAGGTTCAACCCACCACATTTATTAACAGATACACTAGTAAAAAGTTAGGGAAATAACAGTCAATGTCAAGAGATTTTTCCTCGAAATTGATCAGGAAACATTGATATAATTTTTTTTGATATACTTTGAAGTTCACTATACATTTCTAATTACTCATTCTCCTTTTTCTGGACATGACATTTTTATCTAATCTTAGAGTTTTGAAAAAAGAATACACTGTCATAACAAATTAGATAAATATTCTATCAATTAGATTTTTATGTTACCTGAAAAATAATTTTGGGAGCATATAGTAATTTATTTGTCTGTTCTCAGTCTGTCAATGACTCAAAAACAAATGGTTTCTGTATGATAACTTAATTACCCCTGCTTGATTGGAATTAAACTTACACAGGGAAGAGGAAGAAGACTATTGATTTTGGTGTCAAAGGTCAAGGTCACTGTTATTAATTTTTGGAAAAATGGTTCCAGAATAGTAACCTTCCCTTGCTTGATTGGAATGAAACTAAATATTCAGATGGATCGATGATTTTGGGGTCAACAGTTCAAAGGTCAAGGTCACTGTTATTAAAAAAAAAGAAAATACATGTATTTTGAACCCTTGAAATAACAATGTTTACTCTCAATAAATGTGCAGTTCGGGGAGCATCAGTTGGAAGTGCCAGCATTTTACTTGTTTATTAAACAATCAACATTGTATAAAGAAGATTGACCTATGAAAGTTTTTGACATAATGAGAGTGAGAGTAGTCAACTATAGTTCATGTAACATATGAAGTTATAGCTTTAATTATGTAAAATAGAAGTTGCTTTGGGTAGTGAAGCAATTGCAAAATATCTATTTATTTAAAATTTTGTTTGAAATGGACAGCTTCATGTATTTAGGAAATTTAAAAGTACATGTATTTTGAAGTGCTGCAAAGGTTCATTCTAGTATGTGTTATTTTTTACAATCAGTGCTTCAATTTGTCATTTTCAGTTTAAATAGAATTAAAACAAAATTATAACCTTTAACCAAGTTGACCAAAACTTATCTTGAATATATAATACATTTTTAGATTTATACGAATTTCCTGACCAACCAACTTGTAACAATCAATACCTGTTGCAACAAAATGTTGTCTACCATTAGTTGCATTGGAATGTTACGAGAAGATGATTACCTTTTAAAGGATAAGAGCGCAAAGACACATGTTTGGGCCTAAAACTTGAATATGTCATGAATAAAAAGAAATGAACATGCAGTCTTCATCAATAGACAGGTGTTGATACAGTATGTCAAGTGCAAAATCATTTGTTAGGAGAAAACATAGATTGCAAAAGACCTGCCATTGATAATTCCCTAGAGGAAATATCAACTATTCAGATATAACTAAACTGAACCACTGATGAGGTTCCTGACTTGGGACTGTGTCAAAATTACCTTTTCTAGATTTGATAATTTTTTATATCAACATTTTATGAAGGCCATAATTGTATTATTATTCTGAATTAAATATGGAGATATGCTACTTTTGTTGTAAATTTTGTGTTTTAAAAGTCTTTTTGTTGAAGAATATTTTCTATGTCTAAATCAGAACCGCAACTGAATTTGCAGCTGCTGCCAATCTCACCAGACGTCAACTAATTATTCCTTGAAAAGTCAGCCAAATTTAAAAGGGTTATTTTTACTTCATGCACATTTCCAAACAGTTATTTTGCCTACGTGCAGTTTCCCGCAGGAAAAAGGGGTTATTTTTTTGGTTTATTTTATTAGTGGTTGCTGTAGAAAAGTATAATAATACTTTTAATATATACTTATTTCTCTGATACTTATTTTTTTTTTTAAAAACCCTTAATTTATTCTTTTAAATCCAACACATTTAAGCCTTCAACAGTGGCCAATAATTTCATGTAGGTGTGTGTATTGATTGACCAATTTTATAATCAGTGCATAGGTGAGAGAAACCTGAAATAGAGCCATTTTATGAAGGAAAGCTTTTATGTGTAGAAATTTATGTGACCATTATTGTATATTTGTCATAAATTTGCTGTATAACTATTGATTGCTATTTTTTCCCTTCTAAACAAGACATTAGAAAATAATAAAATGTTTGTAAAAGTGTTTGAGTGTAAAAAGTTACTTTTTGATAGAATGATAAAATTTCATATAACAATGTTTAACTGTTTTGTACAAGATAAAATCGTTAGAATTTATTTATTGTTTTGATTGTGAAAAAAATATCATGTAATATGTGCAGTTATTGCATTACATTATCATTGGAGCTGAAAATGTACTGTGATAATGATGTATGTCTTTTACAATTAGGAATTATTTGAAGCAGGAAATTTTTGAATTCTGGAAATGTATGATGAAAACTAACACAGTTTATGAATGTTAGTTAGTTCATACTGAAACATCAGTGGAAGAGACCTGAACCTTAGCCATGATGGCTAACCCTCCATAGTTGGTTAGTTTTCATCATAAGTTTCTTATTAATTTTTCAGAATTCAAAATTATTCCAGATAATTCCTTGTTTTAAAGTATTAAATTTATAGTTTTATGTTAATTTTAAGTCTGTCACCTTGGCATATATTGTTTGGCATATAACAGTCATTTCCGATATTGGAACAGTATTTTGTATGGCCTGACAGCATCCAGCTCTCTCTAGGGACACATATATATATCATTTCTGAAGTCTTCCCTTGTCCCCTGTATCTCACTTTATGTTTTGATCTAAGTGATTATTTGGGTTTTCAATACTAAAACATGAACTTACCCATTTCTGTTTATATTATTTAGAGAGGAAGGGCAACACACATCTTCCCTGGAAGACTCACACATTTTATTTATTGTTTTGATAGATTTTACAAAAATAAATTCAAACCAAAACATGATTGGGGATACCTTTACTTATTTTCATGTGGAAACGACTAAGTTTAGATTTTTGATTCAGTGGATCCTAAAAACCATTTAAATAAGCATGTGGATTTTAGAAGGTACTTTGGGTCTTCTAATACATGTGTGACAAAAGAAGTTCTTTCAATTTCTCAACACTATGTTAACGTTTGACTGATTTTTGTCTCGCATGACGGAGTCAAAAAGCGAGACATAGGTATGCTGTTTCCAGTGTCTGCGACGGGGGCATCAACAATGTAGTAGTTTGTGATTAGGTCTAGTTTGTGGTGAACCACAAGTTGTAGGTCAATCATATTTAGTATACAGTTGTATTAGCATTGGCACATCTCATTTCCATGGAGATTATTTGGCCCTGCTCCTTCATTCATGGTCTATTGACTTTGAAACTTTTGCTTATTTTACATGTATTAGTTTGTGATTAGGTCAGTTTATGAGGAACCATCAGTGGTAGGTCAATGATATTTGGTATGCAGTTGTATAAGCATTGGCATATCTCATTTCCATGGAGATTATTTGACTCAGCCCCCTTAGTCATGGTCTATTGACTTTGAAAATTTTGCTTAGTTAACATGTATTAGTTTGTGATTAGGTCAGTTCAAGGGGAACCATTAGTGGTAGGCCAATGATAATTGTTATTCAGTTGTATAAGTATAAGCACATCTCATTTCAGTGGAGAATATTTGGCCCCATCCTCTCAGTCATGGCCTATTGACTTTGAAACTTTTGCTTAGTTTACATGTATTAGTTTGTGATAAGATCAATTTAAGATGAACTGCTAATGTTAAGTCAATGATATTTGGTATGCAGTTGTATTAGCATTGGCGCATCTCATTTACATGGAGATGGTTTAGCCACGTACCTCAGTCATGGTTTATTGACTTTGAATATTAGCCTAACTTGTTAAGTATTGCCATTTTAATTTCAACATTTGCATATTCAAAATTACAAAAAAGCGAGACATATCTCTGTGATAACAGTTTATGTTTTTGGTGATTATTGAATGAATCTAAGAGAAAATGAGAGTATGGCCTCTTTTAATCCATCATTGTGCCTCTGAAGACGGTCAAACAGAAATGGTCAGACTATGATTATCACCAGGTTCTGTTAACTATTTGTTTTGGCCTTACCTACTTTTTATTTGGGAGTAAGAGGGAAACTTAATATCATATATTTTTTTAAATTCAGAATGATTATACATATATTGTTAGCATTGATCATAAGAAAAAGTTATTGAAACAGTACTGTGTAGTAGGTTTAGCTGTCCATTTCAAACATACAAATATTGTACAATGATTACATAAACTTTTTAATGCTCCATAGTCAGTCTGGAATCTGATCTGTATGATCTACAGCTGGATGATGAAGAAGGTACAGTTTTACAGACAGAAGATTAAATAAGAAATGTTTACGAAATATCACCAGTAAATGAATTGTAGTCTTAAATGGTCATTTTGATCTTATCTTCATCTGAAAATTCTGAAAAATAAATTATTCAGCCATTTTCAGTTTTCAGTCAATTTTCAGATTTATCAACTGCAGTAAATTCTGTACTGTTCAGATAATTCACTTGCAGTCTATTAAGTTTCCAGACATTTCAGAACTACTGAACTGTCTGAACATAGACTGAACAGATCTTAACTGACTGCAAGCAGATTGCATGTTTGAAATTTAAGGAAATTGATTGATACAATTGTGTTTCATCATAGATTCCTGCTGTTAGTAAACCATTTTCTGATTGGCCAACCAATATGGCTTTGTTGATTGAATTGTACAATGGAGTGTGTGGAATATACAGACATGAATCTTCTGAAATCTTCTGTGCCAGTTGATATTGAAAATATGTCAGATCATAGTGTTTTTTAAGATCCTAAGCAAGTTCATGTATTGCTTCTTTAATCGTCAAAAGGATAGTAATGTTTGAGAGTTACTAGGAGGAAACTATCTGCAGTGTACTTCAAAATTTGATCTGGTGCAGACTCAAGCCAGCCTTCAGATCATTGAATTCCTATAAAAATAGTTGAAAATGGTGTTATAAGGGTCAAAATATGTTAACATAAGTCTATTTTTATGTTTGATTGTAATATTTCTATTATTAATAGCTTATTTGTACTTTCAGTTCACAAACAAAGATGGAATATTTTTAACAACCAGGCCAGAATATATATTGGTGGTATGAAAAGAAATAAAGGACGTTTAGAGAAAACATTCCATGGGACCATTTCTGGTAAATATTATGTCTGTAATTCTGAGCAAATCCTACTTAAGGATGTACTTAGGTCAGGTTTAGGAATTTTTTTCAGATGTTCGGACTCCTTGGTTATTTTTCCTACGATACAGGGTAAAATATTTTGCCCCATAACACCCATTTTTTTTTCATATAAGACTTCAATAGCTCATAAAAGGTCATTTGCCTAAATTTAAGCAGATTCTAGATTTCTTTTCTTTTGATTTTAGACCCAAATAATACAAATGCAAGTATAAGGTAAAAGCCAGAGTCAGCCTTTTCCCGCCATTTTTTTTATAAATTAAATATCTCGAAAAAGGAGCTCCATAACCTATCAATAATTTTAGCTTATTCTGTTCCTTATCTTATGCTCTTCTGACTTGTAGTATCAATTTTAAATTCTAGATTTTTTTAATTTCACCTAAGTACATCCTTAAATGATGTTTTACCTCCTAACAAAGAATGGTGTGTGAATAATCATGGTGTTCTTGTTTTTTTAATCCTCATTTTCAACTGATCTTATGAAGCTTTACTTCAACCAATCAGTTGATTATGGTGAAGTAAGCAAATGCTTCAGAGGAGCAGTTTGTTTTTCTGTACAGTTTTCTTTATTAGAGTATAAAAGTATTTTTAGCAACACTGTCTTTGTGCAAGCACATCAGTATTTTCACCTGTGTATGTATTCAAAGACATATCTGTATAACTTAAAGAGATAGGGTAATTTTAGTTCACATGCATATGAGTCTTATTATGAAGTTGCATATCATATCAAAAGTAAACCAGTTTCACCTATCAATCAGGCTTGAATCATACCACATCTTCTTATTTTTATATTGAGTGACTTTCAATTTTTGAAATATCAATACCAAGGTAAAAATAGAGTTTAAAAATAGTTTGAGCTACTTTCATGCTTCTCTTACTGTGTATAAAGTTTTTATCTATTGTGATATCTATGAAACCAGTTAGATTGAGGGTACCATATTAAGGGACAGATTCTATTAGTTGCTTGAAAATGAGGCTGTGTGAATAGGTCAGCATTAAGGTGAAAATATATGATTTATGTTCATGCTTTACAGATACATTGATCTTGCAGAAAAGCTCTTACCCCTGGTTTTTATGTTAGATTATCTAACTTGTGACTTAGTAAATAGCTCAGCAGGCAGATTTGAATAGGTTTAATTGATCTGATTTCAATGGTTAACTTCCTAGATTAACAAAGTGAGATTATATCATATATAAATTTAACTTTCAGAATTACTTTGTATGGAGTTGTAACTTTAAAGCTATTTCTGGCTATATTTTTAATCAATGAAACAAACTTTTTGCAATGGTAATTACTAATGCTTTTGAATGAGAGTTATAGTAAACTTATTAAAGACTTCAAAAGTAGTTCAGGTGTTGTATTTAGAGAATATTAGAAATATAAGCCTATGACCCAGAATTCTTCTTAAAGTAGAAATTGGAACTTTTATAGATTCAGTAATTTTAATATTTGTGACGGTTGTGTTGATCTTGTATGTAGAAAACATTTACCTGTTACTGTAATTTACATTAATAAAAAAAAACGGTGTTGATTTTTTTAAAAGAATATGACTATAAAGGATCTTTTACTATTTTCTAAGATAAAGGATTTATAAAAGCAATCTTGATATTTTTAATAGAGAGCAGCAACTGTAAACATTAATTTTAAGGTAGACATGCAATATAAAAACTTTACTGAATGTCATAAGAATTTTATATTTCCTTGTTTTATAATTAATGGGCTTTTTTATGTATCAGAAACCCATTATATTTTACATTTGTAGGTCTTGTATTTAATGGTCTTCCTTTACTAGAAAAGGCAGCAGAAGGGGGAGATAGAAGAATATCTATAGAGGGTGATGTAAGGCTAAAAAGGTGAGGATAAAAATAGAGAGGAGATGAAAATGATAGAGAGAGCTGTAGGAAAAAAAGGTCAAGGATAACAATAGTATATCTTTACCTTAATTTGACACTCTTTGTGTGTTACAGATCCTGTTCACTTTTCACTCTGGATTATGTGCTTTTATGACTTCTAATATAGTTACAACTATTGGGCATAGAAAATGTCTTGAATATTGTACTTGTTCTGACCTTTTCAAGTTATTAACACCTATATAATTTGAGCTGAATTGGGGGTTATAACCGGTGCATTATGTTTGCAAGCATTATCATTACATTTGCACATAAAAATCATTACCTTTGCGTGCAGCTTTTGATTACATTATCTAGCATTCATTAGGGCCTTGTCGAATGGCGGACGCCCTATAGTGATCAGTCTGTCCGTCCGTCCGTCCTTAACAAATTGTGTCCGCTCTATATCTAGAGAACCGTTATGATTTCAAAGTTTATACTTGACATGTATATAAACCAACACCAGAGGGTGTGTCATAATGTATGTACAACTTCCTAGGTCAAAGGTCAAGGTCTAAAACTTTGGTTTTAGTTGACAACCCCATGTCCTATGGTAAAGATTGTGTCCGCTCTATATCTTGAGAACCATTATGATTTCAATGTTTATACTTGACATGTATATAAACCAACACCAGAGGGTGTGTCATAATTTATGTACAACTTCCTAGGTCAAAGGTCAAGGTCATAAACTTCGGTTTCATTTGACAACCCCATGTCCAATGATAAAGATACAAATTTTTTACCACACATTATTCACAGCGGGGCCCACAGAGATGGCTCCCATCTCAATGATATCTAGTTTTACAGGTAAACTCGGATAAATACAGGTAAATGCAGATAGATTATATTTTTTTTATATATTTATTTAACCATGAAAGTATCATATTGACAATATAATACTTCCATGTTTAAATATAAACAACTACAAGTACCCCGTCCGTTAGTCCAAGTCCCTTTGTAATTTTTTATAGTACATAGTCATGAAATATCCCCTGACTTGAGTGTTCTGACGATATGGAAAGTAAAACCATCATATATTAATCTAAAGATTCTTCCCCCTATTTGTTTCTGTCAATCGAAACTACATGTGTCTGCCTTGACGCAACTTTACATCATTTACTAAAGCAATCACTATTCGGTAAAATTTGGAATAAGAATACTATTCACTCTGAAATATTCGCAATTAAGTTAGATATATGGCTTAAGCTGTTACGGGATTTCACATGATCTCTTCATATTTTTTTTTCAGAATATATATATAAATATGTAGTTCAAATTTACAAATGAGTTCAAATTTAATAACTATAGTCATGTTTATTATGCATTATCTTTATTTTAACCTATTACCTGTAAAATGAATGTGTGCAAAATGTACAAATGTAATCAAAAACTGCAGACAAATGTAAAAAAATTTAATCCCCTAATGCACACAAATGTAATGCGTCCGTTATAACTGTATAACTGTATACTAGTGAGTTACTAATCAAGTTCCTACTTTTACAGGAGAGGGCAGCTGGCCCAGGACCACAATTAATTTTCCTATTAGTTCTTTATAACATTTTGGCAAAAGTTATTGTATGTCTTCCGTACCGTACAAGTCACAAAATGTGTCTAATATTTAGAAAAAATTATTCTATAGAGACATTTTCTAATTCAGCCCACACACATCCATACTGTATGAAAAAGTTGACAGATGTTCTAAAAATTAAAATTACTACCTTTGTGCACCTGACCTTATCACTCTTTCCAGCTACTGAATAGTTAAGATAAACATCCAAAAATTTATTTGAACTCTTTTCTTTCATTTCCACCTCATAGAAATTTAGAAATGAATGAGAAAGGGAAGGAAAGAAAAAAACAAAAAACACTACAACTACAGAGAACTATATTAGTGGCCAACAAAGATAACGGTCATTAATTGTGGTCTTGGGCCAGTTGTGTCACATCATGTTATATTAGAACTTTTAAAGAATATCACTTGCATTATGATCCTAAATATAAATAACATTTTCTATAAATTAGTTTACCCTTTTTTTAAGGAGAGAAGTAATGCAGTCAACTAGAGAAACTAGAGTAAGTTTTAATCAGAATTATTTATATCAATTTTTTAATCACCAAGTATATTGCTTTGTTCACATCCTCTCACAGTGGTGACAAACACACTACTTTATAGCAATGTGCACACTGATTCACAATATTAATTTTCATGTGTTTACACAATCAAGTTTTATTATGTTAATTTTAAAAGAAAAAAATTAATAGTGTAATGTACTTAAAAGTATAACCAAGGAAATTGATGTGATGCATTGTCTCCTTGCTTCTAGGTTGCAATATGATTGCCAGAAAAGTTTTTTTTCTTATTTTAACATTTATTGTAGAAAACATTCATCAAGCAAAAAACATTCCGTAAAGACACTGTGCTCAATAACAATGAAATTAATTCCATTGTAAATACAAAGTCTAGAATTGAAAAAAGGGAGATAAGTAATGACAATACAGATGTCTCTTATTATGACGACTTTTCCATCATACTAACTGTGGATGATGAAGATGATGTTAAAAATACACATATTGACGATTTTAGTGGAGACTCAGTTTACATTCCTTTAAGAGAGGAGGATCCCGCTATTACTCTATTTCCACAAATAAATCAGTTTAAGGATACTAGTATAGTCGAGACTGATATTAGCTTACACGAAGATTCAATACATAAAGTAATTCCTATAGCAAACCCACCAATGTCTCCTACAACAATATCTAATAAACTGAAATTGCCGGATCCAGCTAAATATCCAAAAGACAGAGGGAGAGAACAATCTGTTGTTATTGATGGTACTGATAAGTTGAACATTGAAATATCTCCTGTTGTAAGTTGTTAGCGTGGGAATGACTAATCCAGAATGACTTTATGTTCTGTTGTTTAAGATGAGGAATGTTGCTGCTTTCTTGGAATATGATTTATAATCCAATCGATAACCATAGGATAACATTTATCTGCTGAGATGTACTAACAATGAGTAGAACATGTCATTATTTATTAAATGTCTTAGAGAATATAACATAGAATGTTAAAGAATGGTTCAAGTTTGAATTAACCAATTAATCATTTTTGTATAAATGTTCAAGTTTTTCACGTCACTTTCTGTAAAACAGCAGAATTTTTATGGCTTAATCAATAAAGGAAATATTTAAAACAGTGAGTTATGTTGTAATTCTTGAATTACTGAGGTTATATAATATTTCTAAAGACAAGTAATTAAATAACCCTAGCATAGACAAATGAATATTGTTCTGGTGAAGTAACTCGCTTACCATAGAATTACCTGGGTAATTTTGGTTCCATCATCAGATATTAAAACAACACAATTTCTTGAATAAAATGAGAATTGAACACTTGCAAGGTAATGGTCAACATTAAATTGATTTTTGTCTCGCCTTGACGGAGTCAAAAAGTGAGACATAGGTATGCTGTTTCTGGCGGCGGCGTCAACAATGTATTAGTTTGTGATTAGGTCTAGTTTATGGTGAACCACTAGTGGTAGGTCAATGATATTTGGTATGCAGTTGTATAAGCATTGGCACATCTCATTACCATGGAGATTATTTGGTCCCGCCTCCTCAGTCATGGTTTATTGACTTTGAACTTTGCTTAGTTTACATGTATTAGTTTGTGATTAGGTCAGTTTCTGCGGAACCACTAGTGTTAGGTCAATGATATTTGGTATGCAGTTGTATAAGCATTGGCATATCTCATTTCCATGGAGATAATTTGGCCACACCCCCTCTGTCATGGTCTATTGACTTTGACATTTTTGCTTAGTTTTCATGTATTAGTTTGTGATTAGGTCAGTTTCTGTTGAACCATTAGTGGTAGGTAAATGATATTTTGTATACAGTTGTATAAGCATTGGATTATCTCATTTCCATGGAGATTATTTAGCCACGCCCCCTCTGTCATGGTCTATTGACTTTTAAATTTTTGCTTAGTTTTCATGTATTAGTTTGTGATTAGATCAGTTTAAGGGGAACTGTTAGTGGTAGGTCAATGATAATTGGTATGCAGTTGTATAATCATTAGCAGATCTCATTTCCATGGAGTATATTTGGTCCTTACCCCTCAGTCATGGTCTATTTACCTTGAAACTTTTGCTTAGTTTACATGTATTAGTTTGTGATTAGGTCAGTTTAAGATGAACCATTAATCATAAGTCATTGATATTTGGTATGCAAAAGTATTGGTATTTGCAAGTTTCGTTTCCACTAATATTATATAACCCCACCTCCTCATTACGGTTTATTGACTTTGAAACTTTTGCATAGTTTACAAGTTAATGTTTGTGTTTAGGTTTGTTTAAAGAGAACGAAATATGAAAAGTCAATGATATTTGGTATGCAGTTGTATTAGCATTGGCACATCTGATTTCCATGGATATTGTTTAGCCCTGTACCTTCAGTCATGGTTCATTGACTTTAAATATTTGCATAACTTACATGTTAAAGTATTGCTATTTTAATTTCAACATATGCATTATAAAAATAACAAATAGGCGAGACATATCTCTGTGTTAACAGTTTATAGTTGTAGTGGTAGTCATTTAAAAAAATGAATAAATTCAAGAAACTACATATTTATAGTCCTTCCTAACAATCCAAAAATTTAGTATTCACTTATTTATTTTTTAACAGAATTTTTATCTGAACAGGCTTATAAAAGTTCCATAGTTTTACCATAATTTATGTTTACAATCACTAACTAGACAAACCTAAATTGCAGCCATGAATAACTTGTTGGCATGCTGCTAATTATAAAGGGTTACAATTTCAATTAGACATAATCAACATTAATATAGATTGTGCATGAGTTTAACTATCGACCTGAATTATGAAGCAAGTAGTAAATTAATTTACATTTTCAATATTATTGCAGTGTCTTCACTTTATCAGAAGTATGCTATAATATGCTTTAAAGAGTATCAGTGTTGTTTTTCAGCATGTTTGACAAACATTTAAAAGTAAAGTTTTAAAATGTAGGATGGAGTTTTTATGATATTAACTAGAAAGAATCCTTGGTAAATTTATTGTTATAAAGGTTGAAAGTAATTTGTAACATGAATTCTCAAATATTTTACAGAATTAAAAAAGATAAGGCTATTTACAGTCAATTTAATTGTCTTACAAGTCTTTTTTTTCTGCAGCAGACAACTCCCATGCAAGGAATTGCTGACGAAATCATAGTATCAACTGAAGATGGCTTGGAATGCATGAGTGATGATGAAGATGAATGTGTAACGTTCAGTGGTGCTGGGTCAGCTGATGACATCATTCTACCAACATCAACAATCATAACATTCTCAACGCCAAAACCACCAGAAACCCCTCAGCCAAGGTACTTAAATATCTACCATCAACAAAGGCCACATCAAAAATTACAGCCAAAACAACTAGACACACATCGGCCAAGGTAAATTAAAGAGCATTCACAAAATAAGGACTCACCAACTGTACCAGCTGTACTAGCGCATTGGTACGATTATTTAAGCACAGAAAGAAAATACACAACATGTCTTTACATAAATTCATTGTAGGTGTAAATATTGGAAACATTGTCTATCTATTAGTTGAAACTGATTTTTGTACTAGCTTTTAGTAACTTCCAGTGTGCTCACATTGGTATTTTGTGTCTTTTTTTTTTGCGCTAAGTGGCGATATGATGAGTCAAGCTGACAGATTTTTATTTTATGCTGCTGAAATTTACTAATGTGTTGTTATGAATTATGTACTTGCATTTATTGTGAAATATTTCTGTAAGCATGTTAGAAAATTCATTCAAACTTAAAAGTACGTATTTTTGCACATTATGACTTGTTATTGTGTTGCTATGAAATAATCAGATAAAGAATAATTAATTGTTTTTATCTTTTTTTAGTACATTAAAGAATATGAATAGAATATGTGAAGGTGGGGCTGAAGGATGCATAGAAACAAGTCAGCCTAACATAATTGTGACTACTTTAAGAACAGAATCCCAGGGTCCACCAGACCGTGAAGATGATAAGAAAAAGTTAGCGTTATTTATCGGAATAGGTGTAGGTGTGGCATTTACTGTAATTATTCTAATTATAGCATTGTATAAATTCCGAAGTAGAGACGAAGGAACATATAAAGTAGATGAAAGTAAAAACTTTGCTTACTTAGAATCTAAAAGTTTACAAGGTAACGGTGCAATAATAGGGGCATCTAATATTAAGCCAGGAAAGAAGAAAGATGTAAAGGAATGGTATGTATGAAGGAAGGAAGAATGGATGTTACAAGGAATAACAATTTTTTCTATGATATGGAGATTTAAGTGTGACTGCGATGCTTGTTGATGTGATGATTGCTTTCCATTTGTTATTTCTTTGCTCATATCATTATTAATGATTACTCCCGCTAGACTGTTTCCAGTTTTGTGGATGGAAAGTCATTTGGGAACAGTGCAATACACATTTTTGAGATTCAATGGGTATGATGATACATAGTGAATGATACATACTGAAAAGAGCTTTGTAGCTTTGCCAAAATGTTATAGATTAGGTCAGCCCAGAGTTCATGGTGAACACATGTGTCATTTTTAGAAAGTACGATGTAGTTTAAACTCACACAATGTTTTTTTTATAGATGATGAGAAATTATGTTTGACTTGTTTAATTTTTTTGTGTAATACATTTAAAAACTATGTTCAACTGAAAAAGTTTGATGCAGACATTTACTTTTGTAATTGCTGTTAGCCTTCACCAAAAGATATTTCACTTTTGATCATTTGTATAATTTGATAGAAATGCATAATATTATTGTGATCTGCAGTGAAAATTCAAATATTCATCCATATCATTTTTCATTCTTCTTTGAAAACTAATTTATAAAGTATGAAATATTTTGCTGTGGTTTTACTTTTAAGTTTGAGTGTATTTTTTTAGTAATGGACAACTAGCTTAAAATGCCATAAATGCTATGTTCAAGGCTGGTGCTTCAAATTTGGTTTCATTTCATTTCCAAATTCATTTCTCTATTTTTCACTTATTAGATTTATATTGCTTCAACTTTACTTACTAGTAATACATTGCATAATTAACATTAATGCCTTCATACCATCACCAATATACAGCTACTGGAATACAAGTCACTAGCCTGTCAACATAGAGGTCGTGAGTAGAACCCCATACATAGCAGGTGCGTTTGACTCCAATCTCAATTGACTAGGATTGTCAGTTTTCCTACTAAATGTTGTGGTTCTCTCCGGGCACTTCAGCTTCCTCCACCAATATAAACTGATTGCCACGAAATAGCTAATAATGCTGAAACTGGCATTAAACACCAATCATTCAATCAATCAATCAATGGAATACAAGCATGCAAACTAAATATCTTATATGCAAACAGAGAATCTTATAATCTTTCATAAAATAAATGTTAAGAGAAAGTTTTATTGTAACAAGTTAAGCTTGTCTTTGAAGTTAATTGAATAAACTTTCTAAACTTTGGAAACCGGTAGATCCCCACAATGTCTCTAATTTACGTTTACATTAAAAATGCATATAAAGACAGTTACAAAAATATTTAGTTGATAAGAAAATAACAACATAGAAATTTATACTAGTTTTTATCTGCTTCAGTGGGAATACTTTAACATATTTTGTATGAAAGTATTAAAATTAAGAAATACTATTATTCATGGGTAGTAGTAATAGGACACAGTTATGATTGTACAAGGGGGACTTTAATTGTAATCACTAACGCTATGACAAATTTAGTAAATGAAAACAGTGTAAGTTTGTAATAAAAAGTTAAGTGTGAAATTGGAAAAATAATTGAAATTTTCATCTTCATTGTTTTACTACATCTGTAGACACAAATCACTTTGAGGCATGTTATGATATACTGTTATGCTTCTGTCCATCTGTTCAACTATATCTTTCCTTAAATTATGCTTAAACTGAGTGTTTCACAAATTCTATACAACGGTGACTTCTAAAAGGACAGATCCCTTCCAATTTTGTTGGTTTGTTGTAACAAAGTTTTAGGACTTTAAATGTTGAAAATTTTACAGTTTGAAGCGTGTTTGGCATAAAACTCAGTTGTACTGTTAAACATCTTTCAAGTTTGATAAATTACAATTTTCACAAAAATTTTGTTATATCAAACCTGTATTGTATGTTCTCAAAATACTCTGTGGTTAATTTATTGGTGACGGTTTGCCAATGTGTTTACCTTTTGATGAAAATACTTTATTGGTAATTAATATCATGTGTAATAACAAATTCAATAATTTTAGAGATTTGATTGTTGCTTTCATGAAGTTCAAGGTATTATGGGACCAGTTATTTTTTAGTATGAATGTGCAATTGTTATTGTTAACATAGGGGTGAATAGTTAGCTTCAGTATCTCTTTTTTTTCCATATTACTTTTTTTATTCATTTTTAAATAAACCCTCTTTTCCAAAGTCTTCCCTGTTGGGCAAGTGAGCCTATCATAAGTCATCATTCTAAATAGTCTCAAGTAGGCAAAAAAAATGTCAGAGAACTGTGTATAGAAATAGTGCCTATGTTTATTCATGAAATTGGATAAAGTATATAAATTCACTTTTGTATATTGCATATCTTTATGTCTATCTGCTTCGGTTAATTTCAATATAAAGTCATCCTGAAAATGCATGACAAATTTGCCACTGGATGTAAATGAATAAACAATCAATCAATCAGACACCTAAAGTGATATATTGATGATACCATTTGGGTAACTTCGACTTCATCTATTGTTTAGTGACTTTGGTAAAGTAACTTTTAAGTTTTAAATTTAGATAAATACCTTTGATGCCCATTATGGTATAGAAGTTATATTTCACCATCACAAACCAGATGCCCTTATCAGTTAGGAATGTAACCACTGGTTCACCATTTTAATTGTCTCGCTTTGACAGAGTCAAAAAGCGAGACATAGGTATGCTGTTTCCAGTGTCGGCGGCGGCGGCATCAACAATGTATTAGTTTGTGATTAGGTCTAGTTCATGGTGAACCACTAGTGGTAAGTCAATGATATTTGGTATGCAGTTGTATTAGCATTGGCACATCTCATTACCATGGAGATTATTTGGCCCCGCCCCCTCAGTCAAGGCCTATTGACTTTGAAACTTTTCATAGTTTACATGCATTAGTTTGTGATTAGGTCAATTTATGGGGAACCACTAGTGGTAGGTCAATGATATTTGGTATGCAGTTGTATAAGCATTGGCATATCTCATTTCCATGGAGATTTTTTGGCTCCGCCTCCTTAGTCATGGTCTATAGACTTTGGAAATTTTGCTAAGTTAACATGTATTAGTTTGTGATTAGGTCAGTTCAAGGGGAACCATTAATGGTAGGCCAATGTTATTTGGTGTTCAGTTGTATAAGCATTAGCACATCTCATTTCCATGGAGAATATTTGGCCCCGCCCCCTCTGTCATGGTCTATTTACTTTGAAACTTTTGCTTAGTTTACATGTATTAGTTTGTGATTAGATCAGTTTAAGATGTACTGCTAATGTTAAGTCAATGATATTTGGTATGCAAATTCATTGGCATTTGCAAGTATCGTTTCCATGGAGATTATATAGCCCCATCCCTGATCATGGTTCATTGACTTTGAAACTTTTACATAGTTTACAAGTTAATGTTTGTGTTTAGGTTTGTTTAAAGGGAACGACTTATAATAAGTCAATGGTATTTGGTATGCAGTTGTATTAGCATTGGCACATCTCATTCCGTGGAGATTGTTTAGCCATGTACCTTCAGTCATGGTTCATCGACTTTGAATATTTGCATAACTTACATGTCAAAGTATTGCTATTTTAATTTCAGCATTTGCATTATCAAATTACAAAAAGGCGAGACATATCTCTGTGATAACAGTTTATTTATAAGTTGTTTTTTATTTATTTGTTGATGAGATTTATATCCCTATAAGTGCTATTGCTAAATTATCCAATCATTCTAGTTGTTTGTTATATTTGCAACATTTACACCAGTGTATATTTCACCAAGAGAGAGTGTTTGTTATTTATCATTGTTTTGTTATAGCTGGTTGTTATTTGGTTTGTCAGTTATTATCGCATATCAAATAGAATTTTGAAGTTCTTACTTTGCTCATCAGAAAAAAAAATAGATTTTGTACATAATGTTATGCCCTTTAGTAATTGTTGTGTTTAGTATTAAATGATGTAAATAAAATTTCTAATTCTGTTAAGCTAGGTACACACTTTATATTGTGGAACTGTCTTTTTACCTTGCCTTGTAAAATTAGGGATACAGGAAAAATATAGAAACTTGTCAATAAATAATTATAAGAATTTTGTTAAAATTGTTCCAAATATTTATTGCTATTGATAGGGACAGCCATCTTCAGCCATAATACTGGATATTTATTGAGATTATTTGTATTTATGTGATCTCAAAATATTTTAGCAGATGTTCTATTTCTGTTTTGTATTTTTGTCTGAGTATCAGTTTTGTTACATTTTGACCGTAATTACATATTATTATAGTCAGTGGAGGGTTCAAGGATTACTAACTGTCTGAAGAAAAGTTACCTGTATTCCGATGAACATTAATGACAACATAAGGAAATATAAAATGAAATGCAGAATTAAATTATAGTTTTGCTATTTTACCATCAAATTTTTTAAAATTTGGAGCAATTTTGTGTATTGCTGAAAAAGTCTGGGTTTGAGATGATTTAGTGTAATGTGTTAATTTTTTTCATCCATTTTTTGGAATGCAAGAGAGTGGTTGACCTTGTGGTGTATATTATTTGTTTGTTCATTTGACATGTTTACCTTTGGCCATATATGGTACACATCTAAGCATAAAACCATGATCAAATATATATTTCTTTAAACTGATCTCATATGGTAGTGATTTTTTTTTACTTTTTTGTCATCACATTAACAAATTTTACTCATTTTTAAAAGTTTTTTTTTGAAGATCTGTTATTGTTTCATGTCTGTGCCATATTTTGTTATGTATATTTTGAACAAGCGACTGTGTATTCCGTTCTACAAAGTTTTTTCTTTAATTATGTTTACAGTTGAATAAAAAAAAGTCAAGTGTGCCATAAAAAATTTGAAATGAAGGTATGTATATTACATATAGTCATTCATATTTAATAAAACACCACAAGGGTCCCAGTCCAAATTGGGATCAACTACCAAAAGTTAAATTCTTTATTTCAGGTTTTATATTGTGTTTTTTGGCCTTTTGATAATCTGTGTCTGTGCTTCTCAATTAGATTTTTCAGTATTTGAGTTCCAAGGTGTCAACATGACTGACAGTTCCTCTTTTACATGATTCGATGATATATAAAATTTTCATCCAATTTTGAATTGATATTTCAGCACTCTAATGATTTCAAAACTGTTAAAGGATAGAAATGGGTAGAATACACACTTAGTGCAAAGTGTATCAAGCATATTCATTCATTATCCACACCATCTTTAACTACACAGTTGTCCATGTTGCAGTTGTTTCATGCTGTGTCTGTCTTCTTCCAAGTCTTCTTGAAACTGAGTATCTTGCATCTGACAAACTTTAAAAACTTGTGGGATGAAATGATATGACTAAACCTACTAGAAATGTAATGCATAATCAGATTATTTATAACTGACCTGGAAAAATATTACTTAGCTGACATATCAGACATTCCAGAGGATAATTTTAAATTTTCATATTTGTGCTTTTTGAATGTAAAAGAAAAAAGTTGGCTGGATACAAATTTCAAAGTGTATATATTGTTTTTTCTCTAAAATGTCTATATACTGTTAGTACAAGTACATCCATTCCATTATGTTGTGAATACTTGCCTTCCATGATATCACATCAATTTAGTATCTCATAGTAAGAAATAAAGTATTGTACAGTTAATGGTCAGGCAAAAAGATCAACATTTCATACTTGTTCATTTCCATATTTTTTTATCGACATTTCAGTTCTTTAAATGCCTTATATTCATAAGAGACGGAATGATTATGGCTTAATTCTTCATAGTAGATGTTTTGATTTTGTAACAGCTAGTATGTGTAAAAAGTACTTTATTCTATCATTGAAAATTTATATTCTTTCTGACAACTGACAACATATTTCTAATGCTTAACTACCTTAAAATCACTAAAAATTCCTTTTTATGCCCCACCTACGATAGTAGTAGGGGCATTATGTTTTCTTCTCTGTGCATCGGTCCGTTCGTTCGTTCGTTGGTTTGTCCGTCCGTCTGTCCCGCTTCGGGATATAGTTTTTGGTCAAGGTAGTTTTTGATGAAGTTGAAGTCCAGTCAACTTAAAACTTAGTATACATGTTCCATATGATATGATTTTTCTAATTTTAATGCCAAATTAGAGTTCTGACCCCAATTTCACGGTCCACTGAACATAGAAAATGATAGTGCGAGTGGGGCATCAATGTACTATGGACACATTCTTGTTCAGATATGCAGTTACGTAAAAATATGAGTTTATTCAAATTAAGGTATTTTCTTATTGGTTTTTAGCTTGAACTTAGTTGTAATGATAAAGCATTGTAAAATTATAATATGCACATGCTAATGAAAATACTCATTCTTTGAATATGAAATATTCCAATGCTCTTGCATTGGCAAAGTGTTGTATGTGATCACCAGAATTTTATGGTCAGACTTCTAGTCCTTTGTCCTAGTCTCATTATAGTACCAAATTGTGTGTATGTATTTACTGTCTCTTTTATACAATAAAATATGAAATTATTTACACATTTATTACTTAACAGCTGATTCAGTCTTGTATAGATATAGTGAAATAGATTTAGATGAAACATAATATAACCAGAATGGACAAGCAAACACTGACAACAGCTGAAAATGGTATTCTGATAGCAAGCTTATGTTTTGTATTTCAATACAATCATGAAAATTGTTACATAAGTCTAATATTCTTGATAAGGCTATAACAACATACCGTACTGTCTAATGCTGTCATAAGAGGAGGGTCCTATTTAACCACACCACATGTGCCTGTCCAGCCAGGAGCCTGTAGTTAGTGGTTGTCATTTGGTTGTTTGTAATAATTGTTGTAATATAAAACAGGCCATTGGTTTATTCTTTTGAATTGTTTCACATTTTGTCATCCTGGAGCCTTTTATAGCTTACTAAACAGTATTTTTTTTCTCATTGTTGAGGGTTGTACGGTGACCTGTGTATTGGTCTTTTCTCATTGTTGAGGGCTGTATGGTGACCTGTTATTGTTCACATCACTGTCCTTTGTTTCATTGCCAGCCATACCTTGTGTACTTTTTAGTCCCCTACAGATGGAGTCAAAAGGGACTTAAGGATGGCATTCCATCCATCTGTCTGTCTGTCCATCCGTCAGTCCAACAAATCAGTTTTCCACATTTTTCTTCATACTTGAAGATATTGATTTAATATTTGGTATATAGTTATATCTTGACCAGTTACAGATCAAGTTTCAATTTTGTTCTGGTTCAATAATTTTTTGCGGAGTTTTGGTCCTTGATCTTAGTAATCTGTTTTATGATAAAGATTTTTTAATATTAGAAAGTTTTTTTTAACATAGAAAATATTACATATTACCGATTAAGTTAGCATTTTGTTCCAGTATAATGAATATTTAACCAGTAGGGGACTATGTATTGCTATGCAATACTCTCAAAATACTTGTTTATATACAAATTTCAAACAATATTCTGTGGATAATTAAATGAATTGTATCCCAAGACTCATGTAATTAATGGATCTCAACCTGAATTAAGAAAGTCCTTACTATGACTGTCCTAAACTCTAAATGATTTATTGTTATCTAGTAGATAAAAGACCATCATTAGGATCTGGATGGTCAATGTTTTGAAAATATCTTAAACTACAAAGCAGTTTAAAGTTTGAATACTCTATTGTGTCTATAGCAACATGTTCACCACAAATTATTTTAATTAATATGTGGTTTTAATGTCACAGAGACAGCAACCTGACAACAAAAGTTCACCTAAAAAAATTAATTATCATTTTTGGCTATTTGATGATTGAGGTAAACGTTGTTCAATATACCTCTATGCCAGGAATATAAATTATAAAATACATGGAATGATAGGTATAATACTTGAATAATATAAGATTATCTACTGTAAATTCAGAAATTATTGCGTGCATTTATGATTGAGATTTTGTCATTTTAGACTAAATGCGATTTTAATTTCTGCGATATTGAGAAAAATCCTGTTTAATTCATATAAAAAATTTCAAACTGCGAGTTTAAATTATTGCGATTATAACCCTGTCGCATTTTTCTCAATAATTTCTGAATTTACAGTATTTTAAATATTGCTGATAAAAGATTCTTTCTGGGATGAACATTGCTACATTTTACATTTCTTTATCATGTTGGTTATAGGGCACAGTATGGACATTATTCTTTTGAATATCAGATGAAGAGTGAAAGTAATGTACAGCAGAATTAAACTAAGTGTGATTTTATTGTTTCAATTTAGAAATAAACTGCAGTTGAAGGCCTCACTGTGACTTTGAGATGAAGAACAGCAATAAAATCACTGTTCCTTTGTTTTTTGTGTGTTTTTAGCTGTGCATGTACAGACTTTGTGTCATGGATGGATACCCCATATCCTTTGTTTTTTTTTCTATTAAGCAATACATAAAGAATGGGAGAATCTTCACATTCCCTTAAGGAAATTAATTTGTTGTGCTCAAATAAATTTGTAAATTTTGCACACCTTTAAGAGAATGACTAAAAGTAGAAAAATAGAATAAATAGATGATGTAATTCTTTTTTAAAATAATTGACAGACAATCTAATGGTAAGCAACATTGCTTATTAATTCAAAGTCGCTGGACCATGACCTAGAGGGTAGGGCCTGGAAAAAGTTGTCAAACTGATATGTACTGATAGTAATGCAACTTTATAGCAAATATCATTCACCTATCAGAAGTAGTTCTTATCAAACTGACTTTAGCAGAAAACTTAACATTGAACATTGATAATGAATTCAAAGTCACTGGACCATTACCTTGGAGGTAGGGCCTGGAAAAAGTTGTCAAACTGTTAGTTATGCAACTTTATAGCAAATATCATTGACCTATCAGAAGTAGTTCTTATCAAACTTACTTAAGCAGAAAACTTAACATTGAAAATTGCTAATTAATTCAAAGTCACTGGAATATGACCTAAGGAGCAGGGCCTCGAAATAGTCATCAGACTGATATGTAATGATTTTAATGCAAATTTATAGAAAATATCATTAATCTATCACAAGTAGTTCCTATCGAACTAACTTAAGCAGAAAACTTAACATTGAAAATCGCTTATTACAAAACAAACTGTTGACATAGAGATATGTCTCACCTGTCGGCAGAAAATGAAAAAAAAGACAATCTGATGGTCAGCAACATTGCTTATTCATTCAAAGTAGCTGGGCAGGGACAGGACCTCGAAATAATCGTCAAACTGATATGTACTGATAGTAATGCAACTTTATAGAAAACATCATTGATCTATCACAAGTAGTTCTTATCAAACTGACTTAACAATTGTTGACACTAACGCCGCCGGAAAAGCAACACCTATGTCTCGCTTTCTGCGACAAAGTCGCAAGCAAGATAAAAATGATTAGCAAGACAGGATCTACAAATACAATATAGGTCATCACAGCAAAAATAGTCAGTCCAATTCTTAAAGAAGTTACTGCTCTTGAAATGGTCATTTAAAACCATTTTTGTGTTTTTGGCAAAAATAATAGCAGATAGAGATGAACTGAACAGGCAAAATAAGAGATAACAAGAAATAAGTTATTTTGGTTATGAATTATATTACAGTCTTCAGCTCCACTCTTCACTGTTGGAGAGTGGCTATTGCTGAAGATGCACTTATATCGAGGTGAAAAACATTGGCTCTCTAGTTAGACCTAAACTGCTATTCTTACTAAAATCAAATTAAAGTAGAAAGGGCCAATTTTCCCTGAATCTATTTCATACTTAAATAATTTTCATTAACTTTCCATTATATTCTCTTGACCATACTGAACTGTCATTTTTTTATTTGACATATTTCTGGCCGAGTTATGGGACACTGACTTTTTCGTTCTACTAAAAAACAATATCACCTTGTGAATGCAACTCCTCTGAGATTGTTTTACAGAAAGATTTCACACTTCACACTTCACTTGATCTCACTTGGTAGTTTTTTGTAACTTAATTTATAATTTTCAACTTTTACACTGAATCCGTTGGATGTGTACCAATTAATATTTTAGTCTTGGCAGTGATTTCTATACAAATCCTTGGTCCTGGACAACACGATTTATTTAGTTGTAATATGCTTTGAACTAGCTTTCAGTAACGTTGTGTCTTCTGTCCCTTTGTTGGGTTTTTTCTATGATTCGTACCGATCTCTTGAGTCTAGCCATTTCTATTTGATTCTTACAGTCTGTTCTTAGGTTGTGTTGTTTAAGAGTTATTGGGTGGATTGGGCGCTCAAACATGTTTAACACCGCCAAATTCTGTCCTGAATCAGGAACCTGCAATTCAGTACTTGTCGTTGGTTGCTGTCTGTCATTTTTGTTTTTAAAATAAATCGGGTCGTTGGTTTTCTCTTTTGAATTGTTTCACATTTTTTCATATCGTGACCATGTATAGGCTTCAATACGGTATGGTTTTCAATCATTAATTGGTGAAAACTGTACGTTGACCAGTAGTTGCTTATATTTACGCACATTGGTCACTGGTGGATAGTTATCTCATTGACCCTCACTCTACTTCTCCGAGGGCCTTTTTTCTTCTTTAAACAAAGTATTTAAATCAATCTTCCGCTGCGTTTGCTATTCTACGAGCTTTTATATCTTTTAATATGCCGGGAAAATTTTAATTTTTTTTTTATACTTTGAGAAAAAGTGTTAATATCCGTTAAGTTCAAATGGACGGTTTACCGGGCCTTATGATTATTGTGACCCATTTTTGTCTATTGGATTTTTTTGTAATTTTTGCTTATTCTGATGTCTTTTGTAAGATTATTCGATTAAATATTGATCAAATTGCCATCATCGGGAAACGGGTGTCTCTAATAAACTTGTCCATAAACGCTCAGATATATTTGCTTTTAAGTCAAAACCAAAACAGTATCGAAAAAAAAACAAGAAGAAGGACCTAAAGAGAGCAATTATTTTAGGATAGACTCCGGCAGCAAGCGAAAATACCGTGACCTCCACTCTCAGTAAGACCCGTGCATGTAGGAGGCATCTATTTGATTGTGAGCCAATGCATTAATACGCAGCTATGTCCGGTCGGAATGGAGAAGTCAGATCAGACGAGGCCCGTGTTTGGAGATTGCCACATCCTCTGCAAATTAATACATGACATAGGCAAAATATCTTTGTTCATAATGTGGTTTAATCTTGATAATGCACAACTAAGGTATTAACTATACTACATAGTTCAAATGTACTCTTACCTTGAGGAGCGGGTCCAGGTGTTTCAAAGTGGGTGTAATTACATGAAATGGAAATTTAATTTTGACGATTTAATGGTAAAAGAAGATCAACTTTTACGAACCTCGTTCGTCGTTTCAAAATATGAAATAGAAAGTGTTCCTCGTTCCTTTAACTGGGAACATTCTATGATAAAAATTGTGTACAATGTAAATCTTAAATAAGTGTTTCAAAGTCAAACTACAAAATAATTTTTTTTTTATAATTTCTGCCAAAATAATTATATCTTAGAATATTCAAATAA